TGGAATTAGAAATGGTAGTTCCAAAAATTAGTTGGAATTAGAAAATTTAATTTCATCCAAATTAATATTATAGAAATTCAACTTCCAATTCAATTCCAATTCCGTCAATTTTGTGTACCAAACGGACTTATACGAAATTCAAACTATGAAATTAGAATTGCGGGTAATAATTCCAAATATGTAATTTGGTAACACAAAAATATGTGGAATTAGAAATGGTAGTTCCAAAAATTAGTTGGAATTAGAAAATTTAATTTTATCCAAATTAATATTATAGAAATTCAACTTCCAATTCAATTCCAATTCTGTCAATTTCGTGTACCAAACGGACCTTTAATATCTTGGAAATGAGAATTTTGTGTTTATAAGCACTAGTTTGGTTGCTTCATGTTTTTTCTTAAAATATAGAAAAAATATCAAATTAGAAACTTCATTTTTTACTCAAAATAGAAGTGTGAACTCTGATAATATGGCACAATATATAGATATTTGCCAATAAATTTTGGTAATATATATAAGCATATCAAATTTGAACCTTATATTTTTTAAAATAATTTTATTTACAAACTGTTATAAAATTTAAAAGTAAATTTATATAATTAAAATCTACATCCAATATTCTACAAAATAATTGGTGAGAAAAGTATTTTGTTTTATTAAATTAAGGCGACCATGTGTGTGGTGAGTAGCCTTATCAAATGGATGCTGCAACATGTTTAAGGGGCCCAATATATTGTATTGCATTAATTATGTAACAACATTTTGAGTAAATTATATAAAAGGTCCCCAGTTATAGGTCGTTTTACATATTTAGTCCCTACATATCAAATATTACTAATTTAGTCCCCAATTATTATATTTATTTCCACGAATGGTCCTTTGTTAACATTTCCGTTAAGAACGTGGATAAAATTGTATATTCATACTTCTCTCTCTCCTCAATTAAGCTTTTTTCATCTTCTCATACTCTTTCCCAAACTCGTTGCTGAGTTTGAAGCTCTTAAACCCAAAATTTAAATGATCGTTCCTCCAGTTAGACAAACAATTGAGAGAAGAGTGATGATTTTGGTTTAGGGTTTAAAGCTAGAAACTCAGCGACGGGTTTGAGAAAGGAGTACAAGGGAGGAGAAAACTTAATTGAGGAGAGAAAGGAGTGTGAATTTATAATTTTATCCACGTTTTAATGAAAATGTTAACAAAGGACTATTCGTAGAAATAAATATAATAATTGGGGACCAAATTAGTAATATTTGATATGTAGGGACTAAATATGTAAAACGACCTATAACTGGGGACCTTTTATGGAATTTACTCCAACATTTTTAATAACTCAAATGGATGCTGCATCATGTTTAGTAACAACTTGTTTTATGAACTTATAAAAATAGTTATAAAAAAAAGAAAATAAACAGAAGTTTAGGTTTTTATCTAATACTTCCTCCGTCCACAAATAAACTTCTCATTGCGCATTACGATGTTTGACTGAAATTATTTTCAAATCATTTTATATGAAAAAACTATATTATTTCAAATTATTTTCAAATTATTACGGTGTGAAATTTAAAAATAAAAATTACATATTAAAAAACTATATCAAAAGATCTATAAAACTAGAGATAACATGATTATATAATTTTATCAAATGAGTGACGAAAATAGGCCAACAAAGTGAATAAAGTTTGACCCTGTGAATAGTGATAGAGAAGTTTATTTATGGAAGGATAGAGTAATAAATACGAATACTTATATATAAAAAGTATTTTTCCACAAAAATATACTCAAAAAAATATTGTCATCAATAAAAATTACGGAGTAAGAAATATTTATTGGTTATATTTTAATATATTAAAATCCACTTTTTCTTCTACATTTTCTCATATCAATCAACTAAATTTAAGTATAAAGTTTTACGTACATAGTATTATGTAAGAGCACATTACCCAACATTTGGTTTTTTAAAGTACAAGTATTTCTTTACTATTTCGGTACACCTCCCATTTATATTTAACTGTCTTTTTTGTTTCATGTGTCAAACATTTGATTAATTATATATAAAATATATAATAAATTAACATATAAGAATTATACCAAATTATTGGTATTGACAAATATTTTAAATGTAGTATTTTAAACATTTTTGCTATTATATTTTAGGAGATATTATTGGTTAAACTTTAAGTTTGAAAAGAAAACCACACAGTTTAATAGGAATGAAGAAAGTCTTTATTAGATATTCATTATTTATCTTTAATAGTAATAAAAAAACAATACAAATAGAAAACATGATGACATATGCAAATTGATATTGAAAACTAGAAAGAAGAGTGAAAAATACAAATTAAAATTCCTTATTATTTAAAAAGATGTAATAATATAGCATACAATATTATTATTTTAATTATAGTTGACCAGGTCGTTGGACCATTAGTCGACCAGTTAACCCTTGTCCTACTAGCTAGCTCTTCCCGGTCAACGTTCGATTTGATTTTCTGAACATTGATTTGGGGATTTAGCTATAAATAAACCTTTTACTATGATTTTGTCCTTACTCATTTTGCTATAATGTTATTCTGTTAATTATCATTTAAATATAATGAATTTTCGTACTTTGATTTGTGAGGGCATTAAGGATAAGGTTTTAGGACCTTTTTCTCGTCTCAGCTCAGGTCGTCGATTTTTCAGGAGCGATCATGTATCAAATAACTAATAAAAATAAATAAACAAAAATTATTGAGCACCCTGAAATACTAAGAGTCTCTTATTTAAAGTTTAAAGTTTTAACTTCCAATTTCTTATAGCTTTTTAGTTTATCCTAGTTTTTTTTAGTTTTTTCTAATTTCATTCAGGTTTCTTCGAATTCCTTCCAGCTTCTTCTTGTTTTTTTTCTGTTTCTTCTAGTCTATTATAGTTTTTCCAACTATTACGATTGTCTTCAATCTTTCTCTTTTCCCAAAGAGCTGCTCTAAAAATGATGTCTTTTTCTTCCTGCATTATTATTATTATTATTATTATTATTATTATTATTATTATTATTATTACTACTATTATTGTTGTTGCTATTATTATTATTAGGTTCATAACTATTGTTTATGTTTTAATTTTTATTTTTTCCCATGTCATTTTTTGTGATTCACACTCATTATTATTTTTCTTTCATTTTAATTTTAGTAATACAGAGTACATTTTTTTTGGGAAAAACTGTTTTTTAATTTACATGACAGGAAACAATGTTTTAAAAATAGGATTTTTCTATTAATCTAAATTGACCTCGGAAAAACATGAATGACACGTACACTATTCATGCGGTCGAATTTTATTCACTTTTTTACCTATTATACTCCGTATATGATAGTAATAATAAAAATAGTAATAGTAGTAATGATAATAATGTTAATTATAATAATACCAACATTAATAACAATTATAATAAGAACGACATGTAAAATACATTTAAATAATTTTTTTGATGTTTTCTATAGTTTCTAATAATTTTTTCTAGTTCTTACTAATTTCTTTTAGCTCTTCCAGGTTTTTCCAGTGTATCTCAGTTTTTTAGTTTTTTATAATTTGAGACCACTATTTAAAACTATTACTTTATATATTGGACTAGTTTGTGTATTTTGTAAATATTTGATTTGTGACTCTAGCATTACTATATGGCGAATAGATTCTCGATGCTTTAACATCAATGATTATTGTCCCTCTTGGTTCTAATATTTGTACGCCAATGTTCCAATGTATTATAACATCTTTCAAATACTTAGGTACTACCCCCTATGTTTTTGCAAATGAGCACCAACTCCTTCTCTTTTTTCTTTTTTTCATAAATGTAAGTTAATTTTCAAATATATTTTATAAAAATGTTTTTAGAAATAAAATTATTTGTGTTTAAATTAAAAATAGAATAAAAAAATTCACATATACTTCATTTGTCCCAAATTCGATGATTCCATTTTTAAATTTGTCTATGAAAGTTTTAATTCGTTGAATTTGTTGGTTCAAAAAGAATATAGAATAAGGTCTTTTTGGACCACTGCCGAATAGAATTTTCTCGTGGTTTAGTTTTTCCTTTTATATAAAAGTAATTTTTCATTCTCTTTCCGATCCAAATTAAATTACCTATTTACTATTCATAAGGTCAAATTTTATTTACTTTTTTTTCTCTATTTTCATTAGTCATTTGATAAACAATATTTTCATGTCACCACTAGTTTTGTAGATCTTTTGATGTAGTTTTTAAATATGTAATTTTTATTTTTTAATTCTACACCATCTTTCATATAAAATATTTTGAAAATAACTTCAGCCAAACATCGTAAATCGGAATAGGCAATTAAATTATGTTGGGACAAAGGGAGTATATTTTTTCTTTTTTATTTATTTTCTTTTCTATTCTTTTTTTATTTCATTTTAATTTGGATTACAATAAAGAAACATTATAAAGTTAGTTTTAAAAGAATAAAAAGAGTAAAAAATAAAAAAGAAACTAGAAAATGAACACAAATGGGAAATGAGCTTCATTGCAAAATTAAATTTTTCCATGATTTGGGTTTCATCAAAATGAACCAATAAGGACTTTTTTTTAGATGAAATGAAAATGTTTAATTTGAGACAAATATTGTGTGCGTCAAGTTTTTTTATTTCCTTGATTTTTTATTTCAAACACAGAATATTTTGATTTTAAAACATTATAAATCATAGATTAAATTTTTTCAAAATACATTTAAAAAAAAGAGATTAAGAAAAGGAAAACAATAAAAAAAGAGGGGCCGTTGTGCCCATTTTCAATACCATAGGGCACAACAGGGATTTTCACCTAAGACTTGAAGGGTAATTTATTATAGATAGACAAGAAAATCAAAACCGCGAGTGCTCATGATATAAATTTTAAATCCATAGAGAGTAAGAGTGTATATTTACTAAACCAAAAGGGTAATACTGCAATAAACTTAATCCAAGGGATAAGGTATTTGCACATAATGTTAATCACCCTCTTATTGCCTTAGGTTGAGCCAGAGGTACCCCAACAACTACCTATTTACAATTGTTGAACGAAGTTTGTTATTTATCGTGGTTGTATGTAGTTAGTCCAGAACTCTTTAGTGCCACTTCTTTGTGTTATATCTCTTCTTCTTTTTTGCACTCTTTAGACACTATTATAAAACTTAAAACATAACACTACGTTTGTGGCATCCAACTGGATCATTATTATTGATGTACACGCCATTATACTCTCTAAAACATAACCAAATTGACAAAGGTTATGTTTGTTCAACTTGATCTTACTTAAAAAAAAATTAAACTCAACGAATATAGAGTACTTGAACAACTAATACTCCGTACTACTACTTAATATGTTAGGGTCATTATCCTTCTATATACAATGCTAGGTGCAATTTGTAAACAGTGTTCCTGCCTATTTTTATTGGGCCAATTTAGTGGGCTTTAAGCTGCAAGGTAATGGGCTAAGAATTCTGGCCTGTTAAAGGTTAAATTTTCTGTAAAATGTCAATTCTGAAACCTTTGGACATTGTGAGGACAGCAGCAGCCCGTGAACAGAGTGAAGACGGGAGCATCCCTTAAACAGTTTCGGTTTTGATGGTGATGATGAAAAAAATGTCATGACTCAATGGGTTTTATGGGCAAGTGTGTATGCCATGCATATGGGTAAATGTGTATGGCATGGAGCCATACACCATAAAGTAAGTAGTCCACTTTATCTCAAATCAACATTTAATAACCAGATTTTACAAATCTTTTCTTTATCTTTTTTTGTCAGTCCGTATCTCAAATGTCATTAATGACTATGTGGTAGAACCAATTTCTACACAATAAATACAGCATTAATGACTATGTGGTAGAACCAATTTCTACACAATAAATACAGCACCAAATTGATATCTTCCGCAACATATCCTCATCTTCAAAATTCTGCATTCTAAAGATGTTGTCACAGAGAAAAAACACGGCAAGAGGTAAGAATACCAAACATTGAGAATAATATTTTCATTTACTATTTATAAAGTAAAAAATAGAATATAATCTTGAATACAATTTCTCTAATATAAAAATTCAAGTTAAATTTTTATCCAGATTCATACATTGAAACAAAAATATTATACACATTATTTATTTGAGTGTTAAACAAATAAAGAAATGTATTTAAAAAATTCATGCAAAAAAATAATATAAATAAACTATTTATTGATTTTTGGAGAAAAGTTTAACTATATCTAAGAAAAGGTTTAATTACTTCCTCTATTTTGTAGTAATTTTGCAAAGATGTATACTCTTACACAGAATTTTTTTAAACACATGACTTATTCGAAAGGAATTTTTATAAACAATAGTTCACTTGAAGATATTTCTGTTTAACTTTAGGCGACATATTTCACACTTTTTTTATACAAAAAATTATGAGTGATTATATGCATGTATGGATTACAGCAGATCTGTGTGTTTTGGAAATAGTTTCATTATATATATTTTATATAAATTAATAAAAGGACATAAAACTCTAAAGTATGTTTCAAAACTAAAGATCTAAGATAAAATCACAAAGAAAGAAATAAGTGGGTATATAAAAATTAAAAATTCAGATCTAGATGAGTGATAGATAATCTACCTTCCGATTTGAAGAACTCGCTGGCGATAACTTTGGATTTACCACCATCTTCATAATCTCTCTCTCTCCGTCCTTGGGAATAATAGAGAACACGAGATATTGTCACCGGAAATGTGAGAAAGGGTTTTGAAGGAAACGTCGGTGGCTTGGGCATGCGAGAATCGGATTAAGACAAATCAAAGTAGACACGTAGATAGAGACAGAGAGGGAGAGAGCGCAGAGGCGAAAGGCGGAAAAGGAGCGAGCGAGTGAGAGAGATCTGGGTTTTGGTCGGTTAGGGTAGAAAATATAATTAGGTTTTATTAGTGGGTTGGGCTGAAAGGTTGTGGTGGGCTGGGTTTATATAATTGGGCTGGTGGATGAGTTTAAAATAATGCTTTTTGTAAGTACTTAAATGGGCTGATGGGTTTGAGTATATTCAAGCCCAACACATAAAATTTAAGATGTTAAAAAATAAATCTAATTCTAATCGAATAAACGTCGGAAAAAAATAAATTTCAACTTCTTCCACTTTCATTAAACTTGCATATTTGATGGAGCAAATTCTACTAATATATTTTTTTGAAAAATGTAAAAAATCTCACGTATACTTCACAAAAATATTAGTTATCATGAATTTATTCAACGTATGTTTTATTTAAATGCATCATTATTTGTAATAATGCATTTAAAACAATATATACTACTTATTTACTTAGTTATCGTGAATTTATTTTGTTCAATTTTCTCAATATAAATACTACATTTTCTATCAACATCTTTTGAAGAGTTACAAGAATGACGGGATCCAAAAACAACATGCATATTAAGAAAAACAAAATAACGGACTATACTCCTTTGATTGATATAACAAATGGTTAGAAAAATCTATAGTTATATACTCCCTCCGTTCTCAAAAACTCTTCCTCTTTCATTTTTTTTACTTCCAACAAAACACTTCCACTTTCTATTAAAAAATCACTTTTACCCCTACTTTTTCATACCCTACCTATCACATCATACTTTTTCTCTAATACTCAATCCATCATATCTTACTTTTACCCATCACATCAAAGGCAAAATTGAAAGTCAACTACAATTTAACACTTCATTATTTTTACACAAAGTCAAAATAAGAACACTTTAAAAAAACGGAGGGAGTATTAATTCATTGATGTTGCAAATAGGTATCTTTAATTTTTAACAATTTCAGAAAATCTAAAAAATTGGTCTGAGACACTACTAAAAAAAGTCCTACTCCATTTGGTTACAGAAGATTAAAGATTTAGCCATTTAGAGGTGCTTTTTTTAGATTTAGGGGTTGTTTGGCAACTTCTGAACCATTAAGTGCTGAACCAGTAAGAGGTCTGAACCATTAAGAGCTAGTATATTGCTTAACTATTCAGAGGCAAATGTCTGATCAATTCAGAAAAGAGGTCTTAACCATTCAGACTATGTATAATACTTAACCATTCAGAGGCAAATCTCTTAACCATTCAGACATCTGAACCATTAAGAGGCTGAAACAAACAGTTTGAACCATTAAGTGCTGAACCATTCAGACATCTGAACCATTAAGAGGCTGAAACAAACAGCCCCTTACTCATTTAAAGAATTTAAATAAAAAATATTTAAGTCAACTACAAACCACTTAATACAGGGAATAATTATTGCAAGAAAACATGCAAATATTTAATCATATTCATTACTTGATATTTGTGATATTTCCAAGACATATATACTACAAATAAATAATCTCTTAGAATGTAACGACCTAATGCAACAAAATTCTCCATAACTAATTAAAAATAGACTTTTCCAAAAACTATCAACTAATTTCTCAATGCATAAATTCATTCAAAGGCTTATCAAACAAAATACATTTTGAATACCGAATTCGAAATTAAATTAATCGTTATTCTATCATTCTGTGATATGTTTTTGACTGTTCTAAATTAAAAGGAATTGGACCCTTTAATTTAATTTTGTGGGATGTCCTTTTTTAGCTTCTTAGATTCTTTTCTTTTGGGTTGGAATTTCAGGGTTAGATGATGGCAGAAACTGAAAGAATTTAGAAAAAACTAGAAGAAGTTGGAAAAAGTTGCAAGGAATTGAAAAATATCGGAAGACTTTAAATGTTAACAAGACATTCAATTAAATGATTATTTAAATACATACGTAAAAAAATTCTAATTTTAGATTAAAAAAATAATTTATCATTGTTTATGTTTTAGGTGGTATATTATAAATTTGGATATGTAATACTCCATCCGTCCCATGAAACATGAGATGTTTTTTTGAAGAGATTTAAGGAAGTATATTTTGGTATTGAATTTCCAAAAATGTTTTTTGATGTGATGGATAAAAGTAGGATTTGATGGGTAGATTATTAGTAAAAAGGTATTATGTGATAGGTAGGGTATGAAAAAATAAGGGGTAAAACTGACTTTTTAATAGAAATGAGAAGTGTTTTATGGGATGGATGAAAAAAGAAAGAAGAAATGTTTTATGTGACGGAGGGAGTATTATTTTATTTTTATCATATATGAATATATTTTTTGAGTCGTTATTGGAAAACTAGAACAAGTTGTAAGAAATTAAATGGAGTTAAAAAAAGTCGAAAGTTAACTTTTCCAATCCAAAAGAACAGAGCCTAATAGATAATATCAAGGAACTAATAGTAAAAATCAAAAAGATTGCAAAGTATTGTATTTTTCCTATATTACTTTTTAACGAAGTCATATTTTCTAATGGGTGTGTTGAACAATTATTTTCATTAACGTATTTGGTCAAAAAGTGACTTCACACGGGTAAGAAGTTGTTATTCCACGGTTGTCGCTCACATCGTCAGATGCAAGAATTCCTTTTAGATTTCAAAGAAAACAATTCCTAATCATGACTTCATACGCTATGACAATTAACAAAAGTCAAGGCCAATCTTTGACCCATGTTGGATTGCTACTGAAGAAACCGATATTCAGTCATGGTCAACTCTATGTTGCAATTTCACGTGTTACAAGTCGCGAGGGGTTAAAGATCTTGATTTGTAATAAAGACCTTATGTCAACCAACCAAACTACGAATGCAATTTATAAAGAAGTGTTCCAAAACTTAGAACACTGCATATCGACTACGGTCCTTCCTGTACACTACCTTATTTTGGATATTTTAAATATTATTTGTTATCTTTTAATTTTTGTATCATTTTTTTTATTTCATACCATGACTAAATATAATTAATTTTACAGCCCGTGCATCGCATGGGTACGAGTCTAGTTTATTTAAAAGGATGTTAAGACCTTAGTCTTGTCAATAATTTGTCCTCAAACGAAACATTATTGTCTTCATCTAGATGTTGTCATCTTTGATTTTCCACCGGTTTGGCTGTATTAGTTTACCTATAAACGCTCAAGGGTGAACAAATAAAAGGAATTAATTCAACCAAAAATAACTAATTCAACGGGATACTATATACTCATTCCATCCCAAAATATTTGTCTACTTTTGACTTTTCTAGTCAAAATTGGTAACTTTGACTCAAATTAAATAAAAATGATATTAGATATTGATATAAAAAAATTTCTATTAGATTTTTCATATAAAATATTTTCAAAATATTATTTTATCTAATTAAAATATAATATATATTTTATTTAATTCTAGATCAAAGATTGAATTGAAAAATGGCTGAAACAAAAAAGTCAAAACTGGACAAAGATATGGGACGGATGTAGTACATACTTTTCACACTTTATAATGATGAATTTTTTTATGCAAATTTTGAATTTTCTTACATATTTATCGGGAAGATTATTTAATCAAATGACTTTTTAACACTAAAATTCTTCTAAATTTTTTACTGTTTCCAGCTTTTTCTAACTCCATCTAATCTCTTTGACTTTCTATTAGATTTTTCATATAAAATATTTTTAAAATATTATTTTATCTAATTAAAATATAATATATATTTTATTTATTTCTAGGTCAAAGATTGAATTGAAAAATGGCTGAAACAAAAAAGTCAAAACTGGACAAAGCTATGGGACGGAGGTAGTACATACTTTTCACACCATATAGGATGGATGCCGCCTTATTGCGGCGTACATATTTCGAAATGTATTCTTTTGGGTTTGAAAATTTAATTTCTAATTTTTTTAAAACTTTTTCCATTTTTTTCCAACATTCCTTACAATTTTTTCCAGTTTCTTCTAACAGCGACTTAAAAAAAGTATTTTTATATGATTAATATAAAATATTACTCCGTATTATATATTCAAATTTATAACATATCACCTTAAACACGTATAATGATGAATTTTTTTATGCAAATTTTGAATTTTTTTACATATTTATCTGGAAGATTATTTAATCAAATGACTTTTTAACACTAAAATTCTTCTAAATTTTTTACTGTTTCCAGCTTTTTCTAACTCCATCTAATTTCTTCCAATTTTTTTTTATTTCATCATCCAATTCTGAAATTCAAACCTAAAAAAATAAAGCCTAAATGAGGTGATAATATTTTGATGAGTCTTTGATTTACGAGAATATAATTATCTTTCCTATATGTTTTGTTCAAAAAAATTTGGTCGAAACTTAAAAAAATATTTCTCTCATTTCCGTGACCGTGATAAAAGTTTGGAGTAAACTTAAAGTTCTTTTCGGGAGGGAGAAATAGTTTTTTCTATAAATAATTTTAATATGAAAAAATCAGTTTCTTTATTAATAAATAAATAAAAGAAATACGAGTAAACTCTTTTCTAAAGTTTTGGTGGTCAACTTTTGTTATGAGATGAAAGACAATTTGACCACGGGCATGAAAAATTGATACTACCGTAATTTTCATTTTAATCTCACTTTATAACATTTTTAATAAGGTAGAACGCCTTGATTATGTTTTATGTAGGGTAAAAAGAAATGATATAGACCATATATTTGTTTCAAAAAATTTTGGAAGAATAAACATGAAAGAAGAAATTAAAGAGTACTATACTTTGATATTTCATTCGTCACATAAAAAAATTTATGGTTAATTTAATACGGAGATCAAAAACTATAAGATTATGTAATTAAAAGTAATAAAAAAGAAAAAGTATTACAGGACTACAAAATTATTTTCAAAAGTAAAGAATTTTTTTTTTTAACGAACGAAAAAAAATGTCAAATCTTTTTACAACATCAAGGGAGTAATACATACGGGGTAATTCATACAAAATTGAAACTATTTCTACATGATACAAATATTATACACTCTACATTAAACAAATATTGTCAAAATACTTCATACTCCTTTCGTCTGTAAATGTTATTCCTATTTAACTTTTCTTGATCAAATTTTGTAAACTTTGACTCTGATATGTAGAAAAAATACATTGTATTACAGAGTATAATATAAATTTAATATCAATATATTGATATTGAAACGTAATTTTGGAAACACAAATTTTTATAAAATATATCTATGTATAAATATATATACTAATGGTCAAAGTACAACATTAGAGATTGTGAAAAGTCAAATGGAAAGAAAATTTTTGGACGAATAGAGTATGAAAGTGCAAAACTAAAATAATTGCAACTAAAAAAATAAAAATTGATTGGGGAAATAATTAGATAAGAGAAACTTAAAATTCGGTAAGTCTAAAATGACACCAGTGCTACTGGTGTCATTTGTTTACACCAGTTCGTTTGGGTACCTATAGTGCTCCGTTTGTAAAAACGACAGTTCTTACCTCCTAACCCTCCCCCTAAACCCCCCACCCTTGCCTCCCACTCCAGCCCCCCTCCCGAGTCCCACCCCATCCCTACCCTGGCAGTACAACATTGTACTGCCAGGGTAGGGATGGGCGGGAGGGGGCTGGGATGGGAGGCAAGAGTGGGGCTGGGGTGGGGGGTTTAGGGTGTAGGAATCGTAGTTTTTACAAGTGAAACACTGTAGCTACCTCAAACGAATTGGTATAAACAACTAGATAAGTAACTGGTGTCATTTTAGGCGCTCCCATCCAAATTTTACAGAGCTAGTAGGTACCAAGAACATCATCCTCCAAATCGAAAGAGCTCAGATTCAGAAACAAATCCATCGGAAAACCCTCTTCAAATTGCTCATCCACCTGAGATTCCGAGCTCGTCGGCGACTCGTCCGCAACCGCCGGATCCACCGTCTTCGGGATCTGAGAAGGCGGCGGCCGGTCGTCGGCGAAATCCTGGAATTCGCAGAAGGCGGCGCCGCCGTTGGCCTCCATGATCCGGGCGATGTCGGAGTGCCGGCCGGTGAGGCGCTGGACGAGCGATCGGAATCCGGCGGCGCTCGTCTTCACCTTCATCGGAGTGGAAATGTAAACCACCTTCACCTCCTTCCCCTTCTTCCCCTGTTTCTTCCTGTCTCGCTTCACAACGCCGCCGCCGCCGATCGCTCTCTGGAACTCCATTTGCAGTGATTCTCTACAATTAATGTAATTCTCTGGAAACAATTAACGTTGTAGAGGGTAATTCGGGTATGTTTTTTTCAAGTGTTGGGAAATGGGGCAACTGGGCGAGGGTATATATAGGGCGGCATGTATTTGTGGAGATTAAGAATTCAGAGGGATGCTTCAAGGAAAGAGATGATCCAAAGGGAAAAAAAAGGAAGAAATTTTAACGACGACGTGACACTGATGAGAGTGACATTTTTTACCTCAATTATTAGAGCATGAACAATGAAAATGAAGAAATGTGTCTCTTTTATCATTTGACTTTGAGTAAAAATATATTTTTAGTCTCTATAAAACAAATATGTTTTGTTTTTAGCCCCTCAAAAATAATACTCCCTCCGTCCCTAAATATTCACAACATTTGCTTTTTCAGCAGTAGCGGGAACATTTGTTTATTTCGACATTTTCATTGATTATTTGATAAAATAAAATATTATTGACACCTCTTATTTCGAAGAACTTTTCATGTAGTTTTTTTATATGTAAATTTTATTGTTTATTTCTTTACCAATATGTAAATAAAATGAATTGAAAAAACTTGATATCTTGCCTCGGGAATACAAATGTGGCAAATAATTTGGGACGTAGGGAGTATTTTTTATCAAATAATCTCTATGAATATTTATTTTTGCAAATAGTCCTTTCATCATTTATTTCAAAATTAAATATATTTTTAGTCTATGACCTGTAAAATAGATAAATTTTGTATTTAATCTCTGTAAAATATTGTTTATTAAAGTCATCATTACAAATAATTATTTTGGAAATAGTTCTCAAACATAATTAAAACATAATTAGATCTTCTATTTAGAAGAGGTAACACATTTTTTCAAACTAAACATCTTAGTCTTGTAAAAAAAATTTATAGGGATGATTTGATAAAAAATAGTTTGGAGGGATTAAAAACAAAAAATGTTTATTTCACAAGAACCGAAAACATATTTAATTCTTTGACTTTTTATTATAAACATTTGTAAAACTTCACACTAATATTTTCAGAGTTAATATATTACTCTTTCTGTATAGATTTAATATTTCAATTTGATTTTATATGCTCTCTAGTGTGAAATTTTGACTACCAATCTCCATATTTGTACATAGATGTATTTTATAAAAAGTTAATATTCCAAAATAATGTTTCAAAAAAATTACTGATATTACATTTATATCAAAACTATGAATTGTGATATAAATTTAATATTAGAAAGGTAATATTCGGGTATAAGATTAATGTGAAATCCCATAATTTGGAATTCTTAATACTATTTCGAAAATAATAGAATTTCAATTAGGTAGTGTTTAAGAACTAGAATTCATTTTAAAATCTAGATTTCAATTCTAACATTTAAAATCTCATAATTTCAAATTCTAAATGTTGTTTGGAAAATTATAGAATTTTAATTTTAGAATTTGAATTTTGAAGTCGGTAAAGACGATAATGGAAGCAGGTTGATATGTGTGGAATTGTTGTTGCATAAGAGGATATCACTTTTTAATGGCAAGTTATAAAATAGAGAAAAACTAGACATAAATTTGTATATGACATGGGGAGACATGTTGACTTGCAATTGAGAGTTTGTTCTAATTTAGAAGAATTTGGTAGTAATCCAAATCTAAATTGTTTGAGTTCCCAAAAAAGTAATTTGGATCAAATTTAGATTTGAAATCTAAATTCAAGTTTTCAAACACATTAGAATTAAATTTTTGAAGTCGGCTATGACGATGAGAGAAGCGATTGATACGAATGACATTATTACCGCATAAAAAGAGATCAATGTTTAATTGCAACTTATGAATTAAAATAAAAATATAAAAGTGCAATGTTTACTCTCGAGTTCTTTAGAAATAGCACGGTTCACTCATGAACATTAAAAAATGCACCAAATACTCCTGAATTTTTCAAAAGTTGTATGGTTTATCCTTGAACAATAAAGAGTGAACCAAATATCATTGAATTATTCAGAAAATGCATGATTTACTCCTGACTATTTAGATAAAGATAATATTTTTGGGGAATGGTACTTTAGAGATTTCACATGAGCCAGATGAATCATACTCGTAATTCTCGTGCGTTGGAGCAAAGCCCTCCCTATCTAGCATTTAAGGACTAATATAATGTGCAACGTTTTAAATTGTCCGGTAGTATTTTGTGCACTTTTTAACGTTCGGGGATAAATCCTATAATTTATAAAGATTTTGAGGGTAATCAGTGCCTTTTTTAATATTCGAAGTTAAACCATACAAATTCCAAAAACTTCAGAGGTAAACGGTGCACTTTTCTTATTAAAACAACAAGCACTATATTTGTAAACAATTGCAAATAACGTCATTCACAGTGTAACTATTTTGAAATTAACTTTTATTCTATGCCTAAGTTAATTACTCCCTCCGTCCGGGAATGATGTTCCCGGTTTGAATTTTCCTCATTTTTAAGAGTGGTTGACTTGGGGAGGAATGGTCCAAAATACCCTTCAATGAACCCCCAATTTCTGCTAGCCACCATTGCCGACATCTCTTCCCACCCCACCTTTACCAATTCCTGGTCGCCGCAAGCCCCCCCACCACAACCTTCGGCCACCATAGCCGGCATCTCTTAGCACCCCACCTTCTCTACCAACACCTACAGTGGGGTTGTCAGCCTCCACCACAATCTCCAGTTCCTTCGTCGTTGTCATCCCCCTCCATCGCAGATTTGGAAGAAAGAGAAGACCTGCGAGGAAGGGAAGAAGAAGAGGAAGATGCGGAGGGTGATTTCGTCACATATCTGTTTAGATCTAGAAGAAAAAGAGAGGAAAAGAAGAAGAAGAAGATGATGATGATGATGAGAAGAAACGAAGAGGGGGGCGATCGGAAAAAGAGCAGGGGAAGAAAGAAGAAGAATGAAGAAGAAGAAGAAGAAAAAGTAGAAGAAAAAGATGAAGAAAATGGGGCTCAAATCTGAGAGAGAGACAAGAAAGAAAAATGAAAATGAGGAGAAAGAGGGGAAAAAGAAACAGACAAGGAGAAAGGAGAACCAAACGAAAGACGGGAAGAAAAAAAGAAAGAAAAAGGAGGAGAGGGTAGTTTTAGAAGAATGGTAAAAAATAAGGGACGAAAAAAAAGATATACTGGAAACATCATTTCCGAACGGGAAGAGTATTAGATAATGATTGTAGTAATTTGACGAATTGTGTGTACATTTCGTCACTTACAGTATAAACCGCCTGGAATTTATAAAATCTGATGCAAGTATGTAACACTAATATGGATGAAAGAAAAATGTAACAAAAATTTGCAGGTTATGTATACATAAGACTTTGACTAGAGAGAATCTGAATATGACGACTCCGTATATGAGAGCAAGTTCGGTTTATGGAAGATTCGACGTGGAAACCTGGGAAGCTCACAATGTTATTCCAATTTCCAATGTTTTGGCCTTTTGGATGTCACCGACTTCCAACTACTAATAGAAGAAATCAGTTTTAGTTTTAGTAAAAATTATTCTTATCTCGAAATACTTCCTTGATCTTTCCGGTTCGCAAAACGAAGAAAAATCCCAAGTTTTTTCAATCTATTTTATTTAAACATTGGTATAGAAATAAAAAATGAAACATACATATTTAAAAACTACATCAAAAGTTCAACAAAACAAATGTTGACAAGAATATTTTATTTTATCATATAGGCCATGAAAAAACACAAATAAATATAAATTTCTGTAATGTTGGAATAGTGCTTTGGGAAGATCATTATAGGACGGAGGGAGTAGTAATTTTGCTATGAGTGGTCCGGAAGGCGTGCAAAGTGGCCAATCGCATAGGGCCCCTAAAATTTTAGGGCCTCATATTTTTTAATTTGTTAATAATTTTAAAGTAAAAGTATTTAAAATGTATAAAATAGGACCCAAAATGTATATTTTGGACCGGGCTAAATTTATTTTTTCATTTTTCGGGGTCAGCCCTAAATTTTGCACCGCTATTATTATTTCACAATGTTTTTTTATTAATATATATATCAAAATTATTAGTTTTATAACTTTTTTTAAAAATAGAAAATATGAAGATTTTATTTTGGTATACCGGAGTATGATGTAGTGTTATGTGTCATTTCTATCTTCCACTTCAAGCTCAGCGCCCCATTTTTTAGGGGCGTGAATTCTTAATCCATACCAAATCTTTTTTTAAAAAAATTTAGTTCTTAAATACTACTCTTTACGCCTCAATTTAAGTAACATGCTTACTATTCACATTGTCAAAATTAAACTACGTTCTTGATCTACTTGCACGACTCGTTTGGAAAAAATAATATACTCTTGTCACCTCTTATAATCTAGAACTTTTGATTTAGTTTTTAAATATATAAATTTTATTTTTAGTTCATTACCAATTTTTGAATAAATTGAATTCAAAATAATTTCAGTCAAACGTCGTAAATAACAATAGGAGACTCTTCTAAAGTTACATCAAAAGTTCTACAAACAAAATTTGGCATAAATATTTTATCAAATGGTCAACAAACATGTGCAAACAATCAAGAGTCCAGAATAGTAATTATGACGATACCTTAACGACGGACAGAGTATTATTCTTAAAATTCATATCATGTACTCCCTCCGTCCTAAAACTTTCTTCTCAGTTTGAATTTTTCTCCATTTTTAATTTTTGGCTTTGACTTCAAATTTTACTCTCCTTAAAAAAGATTTTTTGAAATTTTTTTCGCAATCATTCAAAATATAGAGTTAGAAGATAATTGGTGTAAATACATGAAAGTATTAATGTCATTTCTCATCTTTTTTTCTAATGGGAAGGTAGTTTTAGGACGGAGAAAAAAAAGAAGTCTGAAGAAAGTTTTAGGACGGAGGGAGTAATTAAACGGATGTTTCATTATGTTTATAATTGATCAAAACTGCTTATAAAATACTCTCTCCGTCCCTAAATAGATTACAATTTTTTTCTCTCCTCTCGATAACTTTTGTTTGTTTACGCAATTTCATTAAGTATTTGATAAAATAAAATATTCTTGTCACATCTTGTTTTGTAGAACTTTTGACGTAATTTTAATATGTAATTTTTATATCTTATTGATATACAAATTTGTAAATAAAATGATTTCAAATTGTAATCAAATTGTGGACGGAGGGAGTACTTCATTTGTCCAGATTTAATCTTCTCTTTTAATTTTTTTACAATTCTAATGTAATACTTTAACTCTTTATATACACACACACTTTATAAAGTTTTAATATTTCAAAATTATATTAAAAAAGAAACTATTGATAAGATCTATATTTAAAAAAATGTATTTTTTGCATATTGAAATCAAAACATATACTCCTACACAGGATAACATCAGGATAACATGCTTTTAATATTTTATTATTACTTTAATTTTTTTTACTACATGTAGTCATGTACATAAGACATGGTGAAGAATGCTTCCTCATGAAATATTCTCCACTTTCCACATACACTCTTCCGTACAGTGAGATAAATAAATGATGGGATTGATAAACAACACGTGCGCAGACTTAAGCGACTTTGGCATTTGAGCGTTGATTTTCTAGAAATCATAATTTCTCCCCTTTTCTCTCTTTTTCTTTTTTTTATTTCCCCTCCAACATCGTCCTCTAGAAAGCGCATCCAACTATATATATATATATATATATACTCCCACGTCATATTTCATTTACTCCGTATTTTTTTAGCTGTCCACTTTTATTTCTTCTTACATACTCCATCCGTCATAAAGTATTCGTCCAGTTTTGATTTTTGGAACTGTTCATCTAAGCACTTTGATTCATCAAATTATCTCAATGTATAATCCTAAATATAGTCATGTGTGATCTTGTTTGTTTTATCTTAACATATAGATTATTAATATATAATTTCTATAATTTTTTAATGTACAAATTACAAGATAAAATGGATTAGAGAAGTACATTGGATAATGTGTAAAAGTGAAAGTGGACAAATACTCTGGGACGGAGGTAGTATTTATTATGCATCGTAATATTACCTCGGTCCAAAAACAGAGGGAAGCATGAGATAACATTTGAACGGGGAAAATTCATTATTGAATCTTTCTCTTTCAAAAGAAAATTATATGAGTGATCGAAGAACGAGAAAATTACATTTGTCTGTGCTTTTTTATAAATATCGAGAGCGTACAAAGCGATAGAGAAGCATAGAACGGTCCAAAAAGAGAGAGAAAAAAAGAAACTTCTCACTCTCGTTCTAATCGCCAACATTTTCACCGAAAAAAACTCAACGAACACAATCTCAAGCTCGTTCGTCATACAACGAAGATCTCGCTCTCTACCTCTAGAGGTTATTCTCATCACAAAACTGTTTCCACCGGCTCAATTTTAGTACTTATGCTTCAAGCTTCCACTTGTTACCGATGATCAGCTTGCATGAAGATATTAAAAATAATAGATGTATTAGGAAATATCTATTACTAATCATTACCTTTATTGTTGCATTATTTCTTTATTGTATTGTTACTATAATGTAGACGCATGGCGAGTTAGGATCTATTTGGAAAAATAACTAAAAACTTAAAACAATTTTTAGAGGAAAGTTTTTGAGAACTATCTTTTGAAAAAATAAATTATTTTATACTCTGTTATTTTGTTAAGCATATGGTTATAAGACTTAAGAACATTTATATTCTAACATGTTAACTCACATACATGTAATATTTGTTTTTGCCATGAGCTATACACGTAATTTTTTTTTTTAAATTGAATGACATGAAGATTTGAATTCGTGACTTTTTAATTTATTACCGAGTCTTTGATTTCTTGTCAACGAATTAACTTCATCAAAAATTTAAACTTATGATTGTTGAGTTAAAAAATCTTTTATACTCTAAAATCACTCGTGAAAATTTTTATGATTGACAATAATTGTAGCTAGGCATCAATAATCTAGATTTTAGTTTTTAATTTAATTAATTAATCTATTCATTTATCAAGCACCCGATTTTAAATTTAGAAAAAATTAGAATAGTATCGAGGTTAGCCTTCAAATATTATTTTTAAAATTTTAAATTTGAGATTTTAATTTACTAAAAAATGAGTTTTTATTTCTGATTCCACAGTCAAAATGAGATGTAAAGAATTGACTTTGACTATACATTTTCTAGGGAGCACCTTTTTGAAATTATTGTTCTTGTTATGCTATCATTATTTGGTACTCCGTCTTTATTACAAGTATGACTTCTAATCTTCTATCCACTCTCAACGGCTGCACCGTGTGTACGCAAATTTTGTCGGATTAAGGTTGTATTTAACACAAAATAATTACTCCCTCCTTCCGGATTTTAAGTTCCCATTCTACGCTTTTCTCCGTCCGGATTTCAAGTTTTCACTCTACGCTTTCTAGCCTACTTTTCCTAAAATACCCTTCCCCCATGCAGCAGAGATGATCGGAGCAAGGGGCGGCGATTGGTGTTGGCGAAGGTAGTAGGACAAAGGTGCGGTGTTGGGTGAGTGAAATTGTCGGTGAAGGGCAGGGCCGCAGGGGTGTTTTAGACCATTTACACACAAAGTCAATACCAATAAAAATGACCAAAAGTCAAAATGGATACTTCAAATCCGGACGGAGGGAGTATCTATTTATATGGACTGGTCTAACACAGTCCAAACGATAGGAATAAAACTTTGAAAAAGTATTAAAATAACTATTCTATGTTTTTTATTAAAGTGCATCCCAAATCGGAAGTTCAAGAGTAAAATAATCGGTATATAAGTTTTTGAATTGAACTAACTGATCGATTGGATTCAATCTTTTAATGTGGTTCAACCCAAGTGTCTTATTTGCAAGTGGATTCTAATCGGTTAATTAGTTCAACTCAAAAGCCTATATATCATTAATTTTACTCTTGAACTTTTAATGAGGGATGCACTTTAACAATTTTTATTCTAAAAATAAGAGTTTACACGATTGTAAATTGTAATGTTTACATTTTATAATATCTTTTGATAATGTATATGGTTATGATTGACACTATAAATGTATTTTAACTTCTATTTCGAAAATAAAAATATGAAATTCTCAATTTGGTATACTTTTAATGTTTTACTTCTACTTTAGTATTTTTTCTAGGTTAAAAGCTATATTCACAGCGGCACACATAAAGTTTGTTCTCTACAACTTATTACTTATTTTTATTATAAACATATTTGATAATATATAACTTTAAATATAATAAGAATTAAATAAGATCAAAAATTATTCCAATCAGATCAAGGAAAGAAAACAAATCATTAGGTGAGGGTGCCTGTTGGGCTTTGGGGGGGGGGGGGGGATGCATCAAGGAAAAGAAACATGAAGTAAAATAGAAGTCATATTATTAACGGTGAGGTTCTAGTAACACCGGAGTACGGTGCCACTCCGGTGCCACTGGCATTTTGGAGCACTTCCGGTGCTTCGTTCACAAAATTGACGGTTCCTATCCCCCCCTAACCCATCCCCTAAACCCCTATCCCCGCCCCTGTACCTCCACTCCGCCGTAAGCCTCCCACAAAATGTGTGGCTATTAACGTTCTTTTAACATCATTTTAACAACCATTAGGTGGAGGAACTAAACTGAGCATTATACTCAATTAAGAAGTATTACCTCGGAAATCAGTTAATTTCAGGAACTAATTTGAAAAAAAACATATAATTATGGTGTATCATTTTGAGAATTTAATCAAGAAATTACTTAGACAAATAACCATTCCTTAGATAAAAACTATCTCCAACCAACCGCTCTTATAGTTTCTTGCCAAAAACTCTCTTTACCAATGACTTTGTTTGGTACAGAGCGTTTTTTATTAGTATTAGCGTTTTGGATAAAATTTTGACGGTGCAGATTAATTTTGAAATCGATAACGCTAAAGGCTACCGTCAGACAGATAACTTTTTCAAAACGTTAAACTGGGCCAATATGTCCTTGGCTGTGAGGATGGTCGCCGCAAAATTTATCGGGCTCGTCTTTGATTCGGAAATCCTTCCCTCTGGATCCAGGTTATTCTTATCCTCGATCCAGGTTCCCTTGGCGATCGGATAATCTTCACCTGCAATTCGCACTTCAAATTTGTTCTACAGATTTATCGATCGTCTATTGTCCAGCAGATGAAACCATGAATGAAATCAAGAGATTCAGGGATGGATCATATGATTATTTCTCGATCTTGCCCGAATCAGTTGTTCTCCACATCCTCTCATTTCTTCCATTCAAGGATATTGCCCGTACTTCTGTGCTGTCTAAGATCTGGAAACACATCTGGATCAATTGCCCTAACATTGATTTGCTCATCCATGACTACAGGTTCGCTTCATCAATCGTTCCACATGTTTACTTAGGTCATGCCGGACAAGCCTTGTGTCAATGTCTGAATCGAAAAGCTTGCATCCAGAGATTCCGGTTATATATCTCTGCCAAAAGTACCATAAAAGATGCCAGCGTCCTGAAGTACTTAGATTCTGCTGTGGATATTATTTTTAGCGCTCTGTTTGAAAAGAATGTTTCTGAGCTAGCAGTTGAGATGCATTTTGCTCAGGCTGTTCGGTTTTCCATCCCGGAGAAAGTAGTTGTTGCTCATTGTCTGAAGGTTTTAGAGGTTGTGGGATGCAACCTTGAGGAAAGGGTTGCCTGCATTGATCTCCCAAATCTGCAGAAGCTCAAAATTCATAAGTGCTGATTCGCTGGTGAGGATATTTTGGCGCAGATTCTACGTGGATGCCCTGGCGTGGAGTCTGTGGAAGTTTCATGTTGCTATGGCGTGGGAAGTTTTCTCTCGGTTTCTTCTAAACCCAGATTGAAATATTTCAGGATAGATGGTGGTTATGGCTTGAAGAGGATTGAGATCTCTGTGCCGAGTCTTGAAACATTAAAATGTGAATTACCACCATGGCGACCATGTGCCATCGAGTTAGCCGGTTGTACCACCCTGAAATTTCTAGAGATTGTGGGAGTGAACCTATCGAGCGATTGTACTATTCAGAGTGTTTTGGCTAACCTTATCTGCATTGAAGAATTGAAATTGCGGGACTGCGAAGGGGATGAAAAATTTCAAATCTCAAGTTCATGCCTCAAGAGGCTAATAATTAGTATCGGCCGCTTTCCTGGAGCTGAAATTGACACTCCAAATCTACTCAGTCTGGACTTCAACTCTCCGTTTAGTTTTCATCGGAGTAACCGGTTCAGTTTTTGGAAGGCTCCCAAGTTAGAAGACATTGAAATGGTATTTGGTGCTGAACCCTTTCTGACTGCTTGCAGGGGTGGCTTGAAGGGGTTTCTTATGCAATTACCAAATTATGAAGATTTGAAACTGCTCGTTGAATTCCAGTATATGCGGGTACGTTAATATTGATTACTGAGTTATGTACAGGCGCTATAGCACGAGTACTGTCATTGTTAATTTAATATTGATTACTTATTTATATACTCCTTTCGCCCAAAAGTATTTCTGCTTCTAGGAAGTTTGAAGTTTCACACAAATTAAGAGATGAACTTGAAATATTTGTCTACCCTTATTTATGATATCTTTTATTCTCTTTAAAGCTCTCTTTTATGTTTTTAAACAAATAATACTCCTAGAAAACTGTCATTTTTGTCTCAAAGTTTGTGTCTTCATATCAAAGATATGGGATATTGAAACATTTTGCATTATCAAGGAGTAGTGTCATAATGATTTTGATTCCAATACCCATCTTCTAATGACTAAACATTTAACTTAACAGTAAACAGGGGCAATGGCTGAAGAAAGGTACAACTTATAACTTGAATCCCTAAAACCTCAAGTATTTTAACTTGTTAATTGACCCCTTTTGCAGAAACTCATTATGCACGAGAAAGTACACGCAGTTTCCTTTTCTTCCCTCAATAAATTAGTAAAAAAGATGAAGCCAGAGTATGTGGTCATATCGTCCAGATTAGATGAAACTTTCTCCGGTCACATTCTGGGTTATGCAAGATTCTTTGAAAGCATGACCATGTCCTTAATCTGCTCTTCCCCTGGAGCCCTAAAGGTATTTAAATGATGAAATCCATTTATTCACAGAACTACAACCCGTGTTTGGTGCTGCAATAATATGTCCGTGTTTGTTGGAGTTCGCCTTTAATTTTCACCATCTAATTTGCAGGTGGCGCACAAGAAGCTAAAGAAAAGGCATTTGAATTTTGATTTTCGGGCCAATTCTATTGATCATGAGATAGAACATGAAAATGGCTCTGCTTGGGAATCCTTCATGAACACCCATTTAATTAGTCACTACACTGCAACAATAATAGTCACTGAAAAGCGTTTTGAGGAGTGGGTTTAACCTTAGCTTCGGATTCAGCAATAGCAGGTGTGGGATGTATGTATGTGTATGTATGCTCATGGTTAGTGTGGTAGGGTGTTGTGCATTAATTAAATTTGTAGGAAATAAGGATGCATAGATTTTGGCTGATAAACCCAGGTATTTTATTAGTTTATTGTGAAAATAATTACAATAATTTTTCGATAATGTAAATGAAAAGCTGTTGTACTGAAATAAGTACTCAAAATTTACTTGTAGTATTTTCTTCTAATTTGCCAACTTAAGTGTAAAAACATTTAAGGTTGGCAAACTCGTGTGGATGGGCGCAATATATACCGTACAACCGGTCGTACAATGTTTCTTGTACATCTGCGGTGAGCACTCATTTACGAGCAACTGAATACTCATTTTGGAGCAAATTAATACTCATTTTTTTCTAAAATTTAGTTATGTTCGAAAACGAGTGTTGTGTTGCACGAAAATGAGTATCCTGTTACTCAAAAATGAGTATTTAAGTGGTGTACGGGAAACATTGTACATCCAGACCTATGATATAGGTACTCGTGGATGGGAGGGAGTAGTATATCTAGTGGTTCCCCCCACTTTCTCTCTCTCTTTTATTTTTGATGTCACGTCGTTTTTCTTTTTATTTTTCCTCAACACTTCAACACTATGAACTTCAAATGTGACATTCATCATAAGAAGGTCGTCTTTTGGGTTCATTGGATTCACACAAAGGTATCTGAAAACCAATGACATTTGGGGGTACTCTCCAAAAGGTTATTGTTGTTATTAGCAAATGCTGAAGGTTAGAAACATGTTTTTCAATATGGTGAGGATGGACAATACACAGCACAATCGGGTTGCAATTGGTTTTTGGGTAAAATCAGTTCTCCTACTTGGACTAATTGGATCTGGAATGGATCCTCCATACCCAAAACTCAGTTTATAATGTGGATGATTCTGAAAGATTGAATCCAGACAAAGGCTAACCTTAGGAAATTCCTCCAAATTGATAAATTTGTTATGTTCTCATCAACCTTCTTTTTCTTATTGGAATCAGATCAAACCAGATTAGATCAGATCAGATGAGGAATTTGTGAAGAAAAGATTCCAAGATAACAAATGTTCTCCTTTTCTCTCACGCATGTGCTTTGGTTTTGGGAAAGGAGAGGGGGGAAATCTCATGTCCCAATTTCATACGGAGTATCGTATCAATTTAAATTTGACATTTTCTACACTGCAATGTTATTAGACTCGGACTGGACTGGATTGGCCGGTTCAACTGGTCAGACCGTGAATTAGTGAACACTCCGGTTCGGTTCAATTGTAAAACTCGGATTTGTATCGATCCACCCAAACTCGGTAGACCGGCAAAATCGGTGAACTGGGTCAATTCGCCCGACTCACAGATTTGGTCCGAAAGTCTTTTTATTTCTTTTGTCTATAAAATAAAATGATGGATATAAGATTTGAATACTAAACCTTATCACACAACTTTCTAAGACTATAATCACCTAAGCTATTTAATAGTTGTTACTAAAGTCATGCATAATAGTACTTTTTATTTGTGTTGAGTGAATTAAAACATCTAACTATTTGAAAGAGAACATGTTTGTGAAGTGCTACTATTTTATACGCTTTTAAAATATTTCAAAGGAAAAAATAAATATTATTTTTTGTATTAAAATAATAATGAATAATTTATATCTAAACAAATATAATCATCTATAAAATGAAGACATATATACAAATTATAATAAGATATAGAAAGTGTGAAAAAGTATATAAACAATGAGATTGAAAATAACATGGAGAAGATATAGAATACAATTTTAAATACTCCGGTTCAATTTTAAATACTCTGGGTTAAATAACATGGAGTATTTTATTAAACATTGAAAATGATATTTACATCTATCTTTCCTTAATATGTTTGTCCGATTTAAATGAGAAGATAAAAGTTAGACGGAGGGAGTATGTGTTTCGTAATTTGTATTATTTAATTCGTATTATTTAATTTTCTGTTATCTAAACATAAATATGAATATTATATATCAAGTCATGGGTCGTTGACTCGAGTCGACCCAGTTCGATAGGTTGATCTTTGATCCAATGGCTAATCCAATTTAGAGGGTGTTTGTTAGTGGTTAACTTATGGATAAAATGATTTCCACAAAAGCTGAAAGCAGAAGTACCTCCTACCTGCTTCTTCGAAACAGTGTTCTATGTACAAAATAGTGGTGGTGAAAAGCAGAAGCTGACATGCCAAACAGAATAAAATCACTTCTACTCAAAGCAGAAGCTAAATGATTAAAAACAACACACTGTCAAACAGCCTATTAATGTTTGGTCCTGTTTTCAAAACATTCCTTCCTTGCTCGCAAGTAAATATATGGGTGCTTTCCCAATCAATAAAAAGAGTAGAGTAGAAATTCCAAAAAATCCAAACCACTTCTGTTTAGTGTAAATCGTGTTCCCCAAACACATTATTGTCTATTTATTTAAAATTGTGTTCAGCGAACATGATGTACATTAAAACCTGCAACCAGTACCTAAAATTTTACTCTCTCCCTTCTTAAATAGATTACAAATTGTGGGTTACGAAGTAAAATTTTTTACTTTTTGAAATCATTTTATTTACAAATTGACATATCAATAAGATATAAAAATTACATATTAAAAAGTTCTACAGAACAAGAGGTGACAAGAATATTTTATTTTATCAAATACTTAATGAAATCGAGTAAACAAACAAAAGTTATCGAGATGAGAGAGAGAAAAATTGCAATCTATTTAGGGACGGAAGGAGTATAAATTTAAACCCATTCGTTTACTGCTTTGGCTATGTTATTTTTACGTTTATTTATTAGGCTTTGCTCCTTTTTTTTCTTTTTTTAGCACCTATTATTTTTTTTATCTTGCTTATTTTTGTTTTTTTATTTTTTTCCATTTCATTCTAGTTTACGAGATTTGATTGAAATTATTTTCATTTTGATTTACTCCTAATCTATTTTGGAGTTTAAATGATATTTATGCCACTTTTTTTCTCTATTAAGAAGTTTCATGCTTCCTTGTTTTCACAAATACATAAAAGAGTGATTGCATAATTGTTTCTTTATAACAAAGAAACTTCCATATTTAGTCCTCTATCATCAAATATTACCTTCATAGTTATTTTATGAGTGTTTTTCCATAAATGATTCTTTTTTGATCTTCTGTCATGTTGGTGTTAAATTACAAGCTGAAAATATAATTTGACGTCGACCATATGTCCAGTGATGCATTTCAATATTTGTTAGATGAATAACATAAAAATAATGACTATGCTTGTGGGCTAGAATTCCGACGAAAGACCATATTTGTAGACTATGGTGTTAGTAAAAAACGATTGTAATTCACAAATGACACACCAAGAACAGTCTTTGAAACTATGTATGACAAGGATATATTATCATTGTGAAATTACATTGTTAACCCTCAAATTAATACCAACATGATATAAGATCAAAAAAAGACTATTTATGAAAAAAATTCTGTAACGACCTAAAAATGGGCTGAGTAGTTAGCTGTTATTTTGTGAAAAATAAATATAATATTTTGTTATAATTCTTGACTCAAAAATAAGAATTATTTGCAAAGTCAACCTTTTTCGTTGAAAATTATGTTTTTGGGTAGATCTCGTAAAATGGCGACCAACGATATAGATCACGTACGTACTTTTGGTTTGTAGATCCCGTACGTACGTTTTTACCCAGACCACTGAATATTCAAAATTATACCCGCAAAGTCTATTTCTAATATATCTTAAAGATCTTCTAAATAGTATTAGAAACCAATGTCAACACGAATATGTCTTAAAGTTCTTCTAGATATCCTTTACAATACGAATCATTTCATAATCATCAATGCCATTATTTTAATTTAAATCATGGTTCAATCATTCACAGTAATAGTCTTAATCAATAGGTTCATCAATATTTAATCATCAATTCATTATAATCATCCATAATAATAATCATCATAATTGATGGGTGTATTCCACCCAAAACCGGTCAAGAAATGCGCCCAAAATATCCAACCAACTGGTACAATTCGAAAAGTCTACTGGTTAAACTATTTTTTCCCTCATCTGTCGCTAATTTCAATAAACCCATACCTCAGAAACCACCTGGTATGGTTTCTAGGGCAGGGAAGTGTCAACATAGAAGAATGCAAAGGAGCTTACTTGGATTGTAGCGACCAAGTTCAACAAAGAATCAAGGGAGATACTCGAGTAATTCGTCCAGAACACTACGTGACAAGGAATCATACTTTATAGCTTGTGTTGTAAAAAGTTATGATAGTGTATATTTTAATTAGCTTCTATTATTGATTATATTCCTAATTTAGGCTATAATTATCTCCTAAATTATAACCTAAATTATTTTCTAACGAGAAAAGTACCAAAATAAGACTTTTATATTTTTTTTAAAATATGATACTGTGTTATGTGACAATGTACATATGCACATTACTATACTTTTTGGTAATGTACACGACCATGTTTGGTAATATAAATGCATTTTAAGTTTTATTTCAGGAATAAAAACATGAAAGTCCTACTTTGGTATATTTTCAATGTTTTAATTCTACTTTGATATTTTCATTTTACTTTATCACATATTTTATTATGAGAAAGTTATCTAAATAAGACTCAAACATAATGACTTTCCCAATATAGGATAATATATTTTTATTTCTCAATGTAGGATCTTTGGTTATTATCAATTAGTCATTTTTCAAATAAGTCTCCATCATTATTGGACATTATTCTTCTCACTAGACATAATTAAGTCCTATTTAGAAAATAAAAAAAATTAAGTCTTACATTGAAAAATGACTTATGTTTTAGTCATTTTTAGTGCAAATTTCATTTTTTTATTATTTGTTGAGTAATATAATTATTCTATTATTGAAACACTTTTTGTTATGCTATACAAATGTATAGTTTCAATCAATTAATTATTATTTTTATTATCTAGTCTTTTTTTAAAATGAGTAAAAATATAATATAACTACTGCACAATAATTTATTACTCCGCATCATTTAGTGTATAACCATTACACCATATATTTAACTATGTGAAATAAATATTGATTTTTTAATTAAAAAATAACTTGTGTTCGTCGAACACAAGTTTAATTAGTGTCACATGGAAATTGAAAAAGTAACTAAGTTGTGTCCAACGAAGACATATTCAATTAGGCACTTTTAAAAAACACTACTTCATGTTTGGCAAACACAATTTTCATTGATTGGGATCTGACAACAAGATTTTTCACTGATACGTAATTGCTCCCTCTTATCCTACGCCTAAAGTGAGTTGGCATGAAATGAGGGTATGGACTTTGGAGTAGGTTATATGTCAAATTTTAATTGTTCTAAAAAAGAGTTCTTATTTTGACAAAGTGTAAAAATAAGAAAGTATTAAATTATAGTTGATTTCTAATTTTATCTTTGATGTGATTGGTAAAAGTAAAATGTAATGTATAAATAAATTATTAGTGAAAAAATATGATGTAGTAGGTATGATATAGAAAAGTAAGAACAAAAGTGACTTTTTAATAAAAAGTAAAAGTATTTTATTAGAGGTGGAAAAGAGAGGGAGAAAACACGATTTAGGTAACAGAAAATCCCCAAATCTTTGTTTCCACATTACAGTTCAATGAGTTGATCTCCAGGCTCATCTTTGAAACCAGGCGGCTTCCATCCATCCATCCATATGGATCCAGGTATTTTCTGATTATCCATCCACGCTTCCTTCTTCGCGATCCGATAATCTCCTCTTCCTGCGATTTACACTTCGAATTCCGTAGCTGATCCATCAACCGATTGTTTAACAGGCGAAACCATGAGTAAAGTCCGAAGATCTGAAAATGGATCGCTTGATTATATCTCCGTGCTGCCTGAATCTGTTGTTCACCATATATTTTCGTTCCTTCTCTTCAAGGACATCCTCCGTTGTTCTCAGCTGTCTAAGACGTGGAAACGCATTTGGCTGAACTACTCTAACATCGATTTGATTCTCCACGAGGAGGATTTGTGCCGTTCTTCACTGTGTCCGCTCGTGTACTTTGGTGAAATGGAAAGAGCATTGGATCATTGCCTGTTTCCAAGAGCTTGCGTTCAGAAATTCCGGTTATGCATCTCGGCCCGCAATGCGGATGCCAGTGTCTGGAAGAAGTTCCCTCCCCTTATGGATACTTACCTGGGCGCTGCAGTTGATAGGAGTGTTTCTGAGATAGCGCTTGATATTTATTTTGGCCCAATTGCTCTGTATTCCGTTCCCGAGAAAGCAGTTGTTTCTGATTCTCTGAAGGTTTTAGAGCTTAGGGGATGTGTGCTTGAGGATAGTCGGGTTTCTTGTATCGATCTCCCGCGGCTGCAGAGGTTTAGAACTTCTGAGTGCACATTTTCCGGTGAGAATGTTTTGTCTAAGATTCTATGTGGTTGCTCTAATGTGGAGTTTGTCGAAGTTTCATATTGCGAGGGCGTGGAAAGTTTTCTCTCAGTTTCATGTAAACCCCGATTGAAATGTTTTAGGATTGGTGGTTGTGTTGAGCTTGAGAGGATAGAAATAAATGTGCCAAGTCTTGAAACATTAGAGTGTTCATTGAAGTATCCTTGTCAAACGGGGGCCTTTGAGCTGGCTAGTTGTACCGCTCTGAAACATTTACAGATTAGAGGAGCTATCCTTTCTGGTGATAATACTATTCAGAGTCTTTTGTCTAAACTTCCCGGTATCGAAGATTTGGAATTGCATAACTGCAGAGGGGAAGACAGGATACAAATCTCAAGTGCATACCTCAAGAAACTAGTCTTAGGTGACATCGATTACTTTCCTGGAGCTGAAATTGACACTCCAAATCTACTTCGTCTAGACTTCCGCTCTATGGATGCTTTTGACCCGAGTAACCGATTTAGTTCTTGGAATGTTCCCAAGGTAGAAGACATTCACATGGTATTTAATGCCAAAACCTTTCAGTCTGCTTGCAGGAGTGGACTGAAGGGGTTTCTCATGCAATTAACAAATTATGAAAATTTGAAATTGGTTGTAAAAAGTCTAGATGACCGGGTAAGTCGTGATTTTTTTATTCTTTTTAGTTTCAAACTCCAATGCATGTCATATTATTATTATTATTGTTGTTGTTGTTTTTGGTGTTGCTATTTATATAAATTACAGATTATGTCTTTTAAGGAAGATTCATGCGAATTAAGGGATCTCATAGAACACTAATATATCCTTATTCTTAGTCTAACAATTCTCTATTTTATTAGTGAATAATAATAATAATGATGATAATGACAATGATGATGATTGATGATGATGATGCCTATATCCATCAATTTTTTTCTCAAAGTTTGTCTTTCTATCTCAGGATATGTGGCATTGAAGTATTTTGCATTCTCAAGGAATGGGATTATAATGTTCTTGTTTCTAAAAGAATTATAATGATTAAACATTTAAGAAAATTAAATAGGGCTAGTAGAGGGAAAAAAGTTTTAAAATTATTTCTTGAATTTTTAAAGCCCCAATTACTATGATTTTTTAAGATGCATTTTAAGGTCAAGAGAATTTTTTTTTGTATCTAGATCCCTTGGGGAGTTCTGTACTAATATCTCTTACCAATGCATCTTTTTTTTACTTATACAAGAAGAACAACCGGGATAATGCCAGCACTGTTGGGGGTATTGGGGTAAAAATATATGCAGATTTACCCCTCTAAAAACACTGAGATACTGTTTCCGTTAGACCCTAGATGCATTGTTGCACTTACTACCCATGATTTCATATAAACTGTGAATCAAGGGAATTTCAATTTGAATTTTTGGTTTAGTCCATTGTGTGAATCTTTAACTTGTATTTGCAGAAATGTATTATGCATGAGAAACTGCACGCAGTTTCTTTTTCTTCCCTCAATAAGTTAGCAAAAAAGGCAAAGCCAAGTTATGTGGCCATATCATCCAGAACATATGCATCTTTCACCAGTGGCATGGTTGGTTATGAAAGTGGCGATGGTAGTCTATTCTTGATATCTTCCTCTAGTGGAACCATAGAGGTATTTTTTTACTGCACTCCATTTATCTTAAAACCCATTTAGGGGCATACAGAATGCAAAAGACTATGCTTTATTTGGCTTGTTGTAAGATGATTGTGTTAGTCAGTGTTTCAATTTTCCCCCGATTTGCAGTTGCTTCATCAGAAAATGAGAAAGGATTCAACACTAAAGCGTTTTTATAGTGATTTTCGGCGGGCTTCTATTGAGGAGATGGAACATGAAGCTGACTCTCCCTGGGCATCCTTCATGAACACCCATTCAATAGGTTACCACACTGCAACAATAATCCTCGTGAAGAAGACTTCAGAGGAAATGGCTCGAAGTCCTTAGGTTTTTATTCCGCAGTGCAGACAGAGGATGGCTAGTGTGGGATGTTGTTGTGTTATACTCATCTCACATCGTCCGTGTACACCAATATTATGTTGTTTATAATGGCTTGGCTTGACTTCCTCAACCCCTTGAGTTAATTTCTAGGGGTTGAATTGGGTCCAAGTTGATTTATTCATTCACATGGTATCAGAGCTAAGGTCATCAATGAGGGGATTGGCTGCAGTAATTTGCGCTTCGTGCGAGGGTGGCGTGTTGAGTTATACTCATCCCACATCGGCATTGTTCACCAAATGGCTTGGGTGCCCCAACCCTTTGAGTTAACTTTAGTGGTTCAATAAGACCCAAGTCTATTATTTCACATATGTGTGTATGTTACTATGTGTATTTATGTGACAATATCTTTGGTTTGAAAGATATGTTTTAGAAGTCCATTTTATGAAAATGTAACCTAGTTCTTGAATCTTGTAACTATTTAAATCCTATGGTTATGACCACGATGGCTTGATCATGACAAGTGTTAAACGCACTGAATCATCCTAAATGAGTGTGAGTTCATACTTAGTTTTAATCAATGAGGTCACTTGTTTTACAATAGAATGACTCAATGGCTACAACTTTTTATAGTACTTTTTTGAATCAAACTTGTTATGTGTGATGAAAGTCTACACAACCAGTTCGGTTTTATCAGAGGTGCACACTTTCCTACTCTGTTTGAGTGTCCCATAATGTCCAGTTTCACAATTTGAGCATCACAATCGATCCACGGTCACGATTTGTAGCCAAAGGTTGTCGATGCGTACCAAATAACTCAAAACCGAATCTAAAATGACTTGAAAAAAAGAGCGTCTTTTCTATAATTAAAATTTGAGATTATCTGAACTGAACTTGAAAGAAATTTTGTCAACCTTAATTATACCCAAAATTGAATAATTTGGAAGAATCATCTTATCTTTTGCCAACCTTTATTATTACGGAGTATTATTATTATTATTATTATTATTATTATTACTATTATTATTCTTATTATTATTGCGTTTATAGCCATAAGTCCCATCATTATTAGTCTGTGTAATCAACGTATATAAAACAATAAAAAATAATGTTACGTCATAATTTATTTAAAAAATATTTCCTACCTTCGGAGTATAAATTTTAATTAGTATTATAAAGTTAACACAAAATATTAAAATATTAAATTTAAAAAATATTTAGTGGTTAAACTTTATTTAGACATCTCATGACATTTCCGGACAATATCATGAGAACCTTGATGTTATTTAGATACTATTTATTTATCCGGGGTAATATTTAGTCATTTTATGATCCGGCAGCTACCATGCTCCGTTGTTAAAATTCATGCTTTCTACCTTCCTAATTTTTTTGTAGCCAATCGGCAAAATGAGGTGGGGGAAGGGGGTTGCTATGATGGGGCGGGGGGGGGGGGTTAGTGGGAATTAAGGGGTATGAACCATCAATTTTACAAACGAAGTATCGTATGTGCCTGAGCCATAAAATAAACTTGAAATCTAAGGTCAAAAGAACCATTTTGTATAAAATAAAATTACATGTTTTTATTTTGAGTCCGTTTACACCACCCTTGTCACAGACATACATAAACACCAATTGTCTATGTGAAACACAAATAGCTAGTGCATGTGTGCTTCTGACAAAAAGTCAAGAATAGTGTACAATTGGTATGCCAAAAAAACTAGAGGTACACAATATGGGGTACCCCATTTGTACCCCTCCATCTTCACCACACAAAAGCAAGAGGGGAAAAAGAATTCATCTAGCGTTCCTCTTAGTATACAGTATACACCATCCCGGGTACATATAGCGTTTTCTTTTTTATTTTAAATATCTAATCGTATAAAGTATTAAAAAATTACGAGCATGAAAATTTGAGGAAAAAAAAAATCAATAATACAAATGGAGTCCTTGATCCTACAGAATTTCTGTTCCTATTGTACCGCACAACACAAGTTTGAAAGGGCGCCGAGGACTCTACCGCTTGGATCAAAAGCCGACCTACTTCCCATTCATTCCTCTAATATTCTCTCGCCATCTCTCTTCCAATACGCCGATCGCCTCCCAGGTATCTTCATTCATTTCTGATTTACGATTTCGCATTCTCCAGCAGTTATCGAACAGCTTTCTGCTGTGTTTCAAATGATTGGACTTCCATTAATGAGCTTTTGATCTGTTATTTGCTTGATTCGTTCGCATTCATTTCGATTGTTCTGATTAATTGTTATAGTATAATTAAGTGGAGACCGGAGATCGATCGGTATTTTTGTCCAGTCGTATTGTTGTAATCTGTTGACGATGTGAAGTTATTGATCTGTGAGAATTTCGGAATTCCAGTGTGAGTTCGATTGGTAGCGATGGTGTTCTTCAGAAGCTTTTCTCTTTTATCAAAGTTGCGCCACCGAGCTGTAAGTTGTAGAGCATTCAGCTTGTTTGTTTGTGATTTCATTTGTTTTGTTTGAGAATTGAGTGTGTTTTAATAATATCCGTAGTCTGAGTTGAATTTGTTTTCGAATCTTAGGTTCAGCAGCCCAGTATTTGTAGTTCGGTACGCTGGCTCCAAGTTCAGACCTCTTCTGATCTGGTAAGTGTTTGTGATGTGTTGATCAGGTTTCATACTACCCTTTTAATGCTCCCCTTTTGGATTGAGGTTGACCTACGTCATACTTTAAAAAGTAGCCTTTGTTAGGAGAAGAATAGATTCTATGGGCAAATATCTTAAAGGTGTTGGGATAGTATTAGCTCTATGTCGGTGTGGTCGACTGCCACGTGAATTTTGCTTTAGCCTTGTTTGGGTTCATGTAAATTAAAATAAAAACACAACTTAAGAATTCAGCCCGGTTACTTTTTCAACCCAATAACAAAAAAGCTTAGTGGCTGTTTGGTTTGATTTTTAGAAATGTGTTCTAAAATATTGTTTCAAAGTGAACTCAGAACCATAGATGCATTTTCTATCTCGGAAATACTTTTGTACTACTTTAAAAGTGTTTATTTTTGCATGGATGTGAAACTGGTGATATGTGATTTTTTGAAGCACTGCTAAACACAATATTTCCTTCATTTAAATAGGACCTACGTTCTCAGCTGCAGGAATTGATTCCAGAACAACAGGTACACAATGACCTTACCCTAGCAGTTTCATATATGTCATTCAAATTATGTGTCTGTATCTCTTCGTCATAAGTTCAACTGAGTTGTATTTCTTCATTTCCAACCACGGCGTCGATGTTTCATGGCTGAAAATCTAGATGCTTTATGATTGGGCTCTAAGTCCTGTTTTTTACTTCACTTATACCTAGTAATAATTCATGTTTCCTGATGTTGTTATTTTCAGGAGCGTCTCAAGAAAATCAAGTCAGAGCATGGGAAAGTTCAACTTGGAAATATTACAGTAGATATGGTACAGATTTCTTAGTTATCATGTTGATGTGAGAGATGCATAAAATAATAATAATAATAATAATAATAATAATAATAATAATAATAATAATAATAATAATAATAATAATAGTAATAGTAGTAATAATACTAATGGTATTGAGATCTCGAAGGATTGTTTATAGAAAATATTGATTGTGTCTCATAATCTTCTTTGAAGGTAATCGGTGGTATGAGAGGAATGACTGGTTTATTATGGGAGACATCATTGCTCGATCCAGATGAGGTATGTGGCTATGTGCTATGATCTCCAGTGAAGATCTATGATATGATATTTGTGATACTGTGATGATGTAATCTATGGTTGTGCAACCCATTTTGCTAATCCATTGTTTCATTTCTACTAGGGAATCCACTTCAGGGGATTGTCTATACCTGAGTGCCAGAAATTACTACCTGCTGCAAAGCCTGGTGGAGAGCCATTGCCTGAGGGTCTCCTCTGGCTTCTCCTAACAGGGAAGGTTAGTCATCTTGTCAAATTTGAAAGGATGAAAGAATAACTCTGCATTTTCTCATTTTCATGAATGTATTTGTTTTTATTGGTCTGAAGACCCCTATAGTGAGATTGTTTTAAAACTTCTCTCAATCTATGCTACTGGCTTTACAGGTTCCAACAAAGTCACAAGTGGATTCATTATCTCAAGACTTGAGAACCCGTGCTATTGTTCCAGGTATCGTGTTCTTCAATGACTTAACTTCTTCACTCTTGATGATTGTATTGAGTTGGCATTGTGTGCATCAGTTCAGAGATTTGTAAGTTTTAAAGCATCCCTAATTTTGATATTCTTCTGTCTTGGTTGCAGATCACGTATATAAAACCATTGATGCCTTACCCATTACTGCTCACCCAATGACTCAGTTTGCAACTGGTGTCATGGCACTACAGGTGAACTCTGAACTATTCTGTACTATATTATCTGTTCAGTTTCCTATAAATTTATTATGGATGAATTGTAATGTTGAATGTGAGTGCTTGGCGTGACTTCCATCCCTAATCAAACAGATTTTGATAGTGTTTTTTCTTTTTCTTTTTAAAATTACCCTATTGAAGATTTTAAATATCTTTTAGGTTGGCAGTGAATTTCAGAAGGCATATGAAAAGGGAATTCACAAATCGAAGTGAGTTTTGAAAGTATTTGTATTAGAGTATATTGTATGACTTTTGAAAGCACTTAACATGTATTTTGCTTCTAGGTTTTGGGAACCAACTTATGAGGACTCCCTCAATTTGATCGCTCAAGTACCACTTGTAGCATCATACATTTATCGCAGGTCAGATGGCTGTAAATTATTCATGATTCATAATTTATGTCTATTTAAAGTCCCTCTTCATTTGAAGGATGATTAATTTATGAATTCTTTCTATTTCTTATTTCATAAATATCATAATGTTTTAACTTGAACACTGTCAACTCTTGTGAAGGATGTATAAGAATGGTCAAATTATATCGAAAGATGACAGCTTGGATTATGGTGCGAATTTTGCACAAATGTTGGGTTATGATAGTCCCGAGGTGCATGAACTCATGAGGCTCTATGTTACCATCCATAGGTGGGCAGTGCTCACATGTATATTATGCTAATTAGTTTGATACTCCTCTTTCATATGTTTGGTTAAGCTGACTTTTAAATTTTCATCATCTCACTCTCCACTTTCTTGCAGTGATCATGAAGGCGGAAATGTTAGTGCTCACACCGGTCACCTGGTAAGGTTAACTCTTTTTTTTGGGGTGGGGGGTGGGGTGTTATGAAAGTAACACAAAGGTTGGACTACTTTATCAATTTTGTTTGCATTTTCAACCATGTAATTTGCCTATTACTCTCCCCCTCCTTAAAAAACTCATGTTTTAAATGCTACTATGTATAATTGTCCAAAAATGTCAGTTTAATTCCAACCAAAATAATTGTTCATTCACTTTGCCAAAAGGTTGCTAAAAAGGGTCACTGTTAAATTGATAAATACACCATAAAATATGTTTAGGAAATATGTTTATGATTCAGTATTAATGACAATTGTGTGGCTGTGCCTGAACGAAGTTTAAAGAGTTATACATTCATCAAACATGACTCTTTTTGTGGGATGGGTGTGAACATGCGGTATATGTTCCGTAGTGCGGACTCCGGATGCATGTCTTAGTCTATTTTTTCTGTTTATATCACCTCCCTTCTACCATTTGTTTGATCAGGTTGCCAGTGCTCTTTCAGATCCTTACCTCTCATTTGCAGCTGCGTTGAATGGACTAGCTGGTCCCCTCCATGGTTTGGCTAATCAGGTGATTTCTCAGTTCCCCTTTCAGTGTATTTCCTATTAATTTGCATCAATGGTGTCATATTCTACCATACCTGGAGGATTTCTTTTGTGCTCACTTCATGCAATTGATGACAGGAAGTGTTGTTATGGATCAAATCCGTTGTAAAGGAGTGTGGAGAGAACATATCCAAAGAGCAGCTAAAGGATTATGTCTATAAAACCTTAAACAGTGGCAAGGTAGTTTGCATTTGAATTAAGGGTAGCTTTGCTTTACAAAATCCAGACCAACTAAAATATTTTTTTCTGATTCGCTTCGAATACAGGTTGTACCTGGATTTGGGCATGGAGTGCTTCGCAAGACCGACCCTAGATATACATGCCAAAGAGAATTTGCATTGAAGCACTTACCTGAAGATCCACTGTTTCAGCTGGTTATAACTTAAGCCATGATAATACAATGTCCTCTGTTTTGTTTTGTTGCTCTTCTCACATGTGTAATCATCAAACTAACGTCTGATTTGGCTGTACTTCTCTGCAGGTTTCAAAACTTTATGAAGTTGTTCCCCCTATACTTACAGAGCTTGGCAAGGTATGCCGTTCTTTGTATGAGGAGGTTGTTGTTGGTCTGTTTGAATGTGTGTAAGTGTGTTTTTGTACTTCAGCCTACAAATATAAGTTGATAAAAAATTTGTTGACTTCTTTGGTAGTGCCAAACAAATTTAGGTTAAACTTATCGCCAGACTACTTTTTCAATGACAGCTTTGCACAATAATTGAGAAATCTACTGTTTATTAAAACTTATCTTTTATCAAATGAGATTTAAAATCAATTGTTGAAACTCCTAAAATGACTATTTTTTTATCAATATGGCACTTGTCGTTGAGATTTGATGATAGTTATTGAAATCTAAGAAGCATGTATCGCTGCACCTTTGCTCTGAGCTGATATTATTTGTCATGTATCAAAATGAATACTGGTTTGTAGTTGTATGAATGCAAAAATATGAACAATAAGTTGTTTTTTGTTTTTCTTTTCAGGTGAAAAATCCTTGGCCCAATGTTGATGCACACAGTGGGGTGTTATTGAGTTATTACGGTTTGACTGAAGCCAGGTATGGAATGATTCTATTCTTGTTTAGAAAGTTGTTTCAAGCCTGTGAAAGATGAACCGGGGATTTGATAAATTTCTTTTGCACTTAATTTTCGATACAGATACTACACAGTCCTCTTTGGTGTATCTAGAGCTATCGGCATTGGCTCACAGGTACTCCACCCTACTAAATACCCCTTGCCGCTTCTTCTCAATTACTATCTTCATCAACACTATAAATATTATTTTTGTTTGGAAACACATGTGGAAAAATCAATTTTTACATGAAAGAGTTGCAAGAACGTTGTGCCTGGAGTTCCTTAGGGGGCTATGTAACATTTTCTGTGCTCCAAAAGGGCACCAGAGGTTTCACAAACATTTCCGAAATGCTGCTTTGGGAGACTAACCGGTCATCAAAGCTAACGTGTAAATCTTCGTTGATAAACTCATAATGGTTTTCCCTTTTTTTCTTTCACTCAGCTGATATGGGACCGAGCTCTCGGGTTGCCATTGGAGAGACCAAAGAGTGTTACCATGGAGTGGCTCGAAAATCACTGCAAGAAAGCAGCCAGCTCTTGATTTCTTTTACCCAGTATATGATGATGGCTCTAAATTTTCTCTCTAATAAGTGATGAACTCGCAAAACCATGGGTTTAACATCTCAATAGAAAGCATATTGCCAATACCCCCAAATTTTCTACAAAAGTTAATTTTAGCCTTTTTTCTGTCTTTTTTTTTTTTAGTTTCATTGGTTAGTAGTAGCATACTGGGTTGGGGAATAAGCAATGTTTACCATCATATGTTGCAATTCCAATTTACACAAAGATTGGATTTTTGTTCTTTTAAAGAAAATGGCTCTCTTTTTCATCTCTGGTTGAAGTTTGTTTGGTGCATCAAGTTAGTCACATCAAGTTTCACACCTTTGTGTATCACAGATATACACGGATAATCATTGTCTAGTACAAAAAAGTAGGGGTGGACAAAAAAATCATTCTAGCATGGCATCATACCGGACCGTAATGGTATCGACTGTTTATAGTGTTTTTAAACGGGATTGATTTTTTTTATCACAAATTGAAACCGAGCCAATATCAAATGAGATGAGATCATGATACAAATATTTAAAACCGATTATCACGGATTAATCGTTCAAAGCTATATACGGAATATCTCAAATAATTATTTGTCTACTTCATCTTACTGTATATGAAGTCATTCGTATTGTATTATTCATTCATAAAATTATTTCATTATAATTGTTCATATTATATTTATTACTACTATTACCATTATTTTTTAGACTTTTTAATAGTCTGATATTGTATTAATTGGGAAAAAATTATTTTTAAAATTTAAACTCGTTATCTTTTATTCTTTATGTTTATGAACATTTTAAATTCAAAATAAATTCTTCTTTTTAACAAAGTTGTGTTTTTTTATACATAATAATGCTTTTATTTTAATATTTTTAAAGTGATACATGTTCATTTTTTTGGCACGGTTTGAGCATTGGTATGGTATTGTATCGTCCCATTTCAAAACAGAATGATACTGAATGGTTTTGGGGTTCATACCGTACTGATACTGAATCATTCAAATAAAAAAGGTACGTGATAGGTTCCGATAGTATCACGGACCGTCACGGACTGCGCCCATCCCTACAAAAAAAGTTAGAGGAACCCCAACTTTGACGCTATAGTTTTTCACGGACACCTTGTCTTTGCAGGAATTATTTGTGTGCTTGTGAGACCCTATGATCTCAATTGGGTTTTCCTAACATAATAATAAAAAAAACCATACTAGAATAACACTAATTTTGACCTTTGGAATGGCAATTGTTTGTTAATTTGTACATACGTGTGATATATTTGTGAAAGTCCAAATATAATTGTACGGGAGTATTCTGTATGCATATAAATAAATCTACAAACGCTTTTCATTTCCACTATTAAAATTTCTGCTTTACTTTTACTTTTAATTAGGGGTGTTCATCGGGTCAAACCCAGACCGGCACCGGACCGGGACCGAATAAGGGGCATTTGGTGGACCAAGGACCGGCCCAGGACCGGACCGAATAAATGTTATTTTTATCTTTTTTAAAATTTGATTTTTTTTATTTCATTTAAAGTATTCAATTGAATAAAAATATTATTACTACGAATTTTTAATTGTAACACACACTAAACATTGTCAAACACTGTTATTTTTTATTTTTTAAAAAAACTTTAAATAATATATATATCTTCCATCCGTATTACTCAAAATTTGTTTGTAATTTTTATTTTACATAGGGAATATTCTTATTACAGTATTTTTGCTTTTTTGTAATATATTTTTTGAGTTTTCGATTTATTTTGGCAAACACATACATTTTTGACTGTTTTCATTCATGAGATTGTTTACAATGTTTATTTTTGCTAATTAGAGTTTCATTATTGATAGAGTACAAATTTAAGTTATAGTATTAGTACATAAATTTGAAATGCAGTAGATCGCTAATATAAAGGTAATGTTTACTTTTTCACATTTTTCATATTAAAAATATTTAAATATCATTAGGATTGGTATCTTATTTTGAATTGAAAATATATTTAAAAAATTATATTCAATTATAAAATCAAAACATTTGAAAAACTTTTAGTATTAAAGTTAAATTAATTTTAAGTATAAGAAAAAACCTTAAAAAATACAATATTATAAAAACCAGACCGAATAAGGTCCGCTCCGATTTTGGCCGGGTTTTGGATCGGTCCGGGTCTGGACCGAATAATGCACACCCCTACTTTTAATGTTTTATTTTCATTTGATTAGAATTGTTTAGAAATTACGGAGTACTTTGTATATGAAAATGGGAGTCATAAAGGACATCCCAAAAGTGATAACAAAATCACCATAAATTAAGGGTTAAATATGTTTTTGGTTTCTGTAAAATAGGTAACTTTTATTTTCGGTCCTTGTAAAATATTTTCTTGAAAAGGTATCCTTCCAAATTTTTAATTTTTAAAATTGTCCTTAAACATAATTTGCACTTCTAATTTATTAAGATACCACATTTATTTTGTAAATATCCAAGTCTTGCATTTCTAATAACTATGGAACTATTTTCATGCCTTAAATTGTGTCCTTATTTGTATTGCATCTCCCATTCTTAAATTTTTTAGGAATATAGTACAAGAAAATTTGGAAATTCGAGATGTAATTAATGAAAAAGACGATCAATGACATGAAAATTGTATCTAAGGTAAATACAAATGAAAAATTAAGATAAATTAGAAGTGTCGATTATGTTTAAGGACTATTTTCAAATAATTTTTTTTTGTAAGAATGACTTAATTTTTTTTTGCAGGAACCAAAAACAAAAATCACATATCTTATAGAGACTAAAAACATATTCAACCCTAAACATAACAAAGGATAAGCTATGTTATCTTAGGAGTATTTTTGTCACAAGTCTTGAGAATGTTTTTGAAATGGACCAAACATGTGAGAGTATTCATGTGCACCTTTCCAAATCAAAATGTATGTATGGCTCCATTGTGGAGCTTGTATAGTAGCTTCAATAGTTTCATGCAGAAAATCCGGAGCTTCAAAATGTAAATTAAGACCATTTATTCAGAAAAGCAAAACAGAGTTCATTGCCAACGGAGAAAAAAGAGTCATTATTGACAATTTTTTAAACTTCGTGTAAATTATGGCCTAAATAAACTAAGAAAACAATAACATTCTAACAACCTACTTGGATTCTTTCCCATTAACATTATGATTCTCCTCACGAACCGTCTCTGTGAAGCTCATACCCTCATCGGCACCGGCAGTCATGACAGGCATCCATAGATCAGAAGTTGTGCTTAAGAGAGACATGACCTGAGGGCCCGCTGAGGAAACCATCTCTTCTACATCATCCAGCTTTGATGATAGCTTATCCAACTCCTTGGCAATCTCCATCTGATTGACATAAAACGTTTGATGAATGATGATGAATGTGCAAATCAAGCTATAGATGCTGGTTTGGTTCGCATAAGTCCACATTAAGGAATTAGAGAGGGGGAGGGGGGATGGAATGCATGTTTCATGGGAAAAGAATGAGTGGTTCAAATCCAACTGTTTTGTAGGCAATAAACAAATTTTTACTTATGTTTGGTTTCCCTTGTAAAATTCTTTATCTAACAATTTTTTGAATTCCTAGCAAGAGGGTGTGAAAATGATTTCATTTTGGGCGAACAAACAAGGTGTAGAGAGTTAAAGGTTCACCTCATCAAGATGAGGTGCTGATTTTGAAGGAACTTTCGTGACTTCCTGCCCTAGGGCCTGTATCTTGGCGCGTAACTCCACCTCCTCTTGATTAGAGAGTGACTCAACCTGCATATGTTTGTTATAGTATTACTTAGCTAGCGGACACGGAAATGAGTACTTCCCTTGAAAAAGTAAAGCAAATACTAAACAGAACCAACATCATAAATCAAAAATGAAATTAGAAAACATACTCTGAGCAAAGCTAACAACCAAACCTAACTCTAGTGTTCGGTCTTCGCCCCATCTCATCAAGTCTCGTATATTCAGCTATCACTAACGACAGAAGCCACAACCTTGGGCTATTTAGCTATCACTCTTTTAAACCTCCGTAAGGATAACCTTATGAAAGTACGGAGTGACAACATGAAGTGTGTCGTTTGTTATTCCATGCTATCTTTCCTAAGCCCCATGCTTTTACCACAGAAAAAAGAAAAGACCAAAGAAAAATAAAGCCCGTGTATCAAAGTGGCTTATTTTGCAGCTTATCAGCAATATAAACAAAGTCATTTAAGTAGCTTTTAACTTGCTTGTTTGGTTCAATTGGACTTCTCAAAGAGTGATTCCTCTATTTTAAAAATAGTAGATTCAGCCATATCAGCCAAATGACCATTACAAGCAGGCTCTTATTTTCTTCTGTGTGGTTTCACCGTGGGAAATGCAAAGAAATAGAAAATATGATTGGCGTTGTCAGCATTTACATACAATAAGACTTCTTACTCTCTATACAAACGACGAAAAATTAAAATAAGTGTCAATAAAAAGACTTAAATTTTAACTGCTCATTTATTTCCCCTGATCATTTTGTTTTAACTTCCTCTATGGTAATATGTTCCTTTCTTCTTTTCTTTTTTCTTCCCTAGCATTTCCCAAGGTCTAAACGATTTGCATTTCCAATGTTCCTCCAGAATATCAAGGTCTTGCTAAGGAAGTGTTGGACAATGGAACCACAACATCCAGTTATATTGTTTCCATTTCCGAGTTAATGAGCACTGTAGGGAAGAATCCCACAGCAAAGTATAAAAAATTTTAACCAACTCAAAGAATTCCAAAAAGAATTCCAAATGTTTTTACTGCAAAAGTTTTGCCATCCAAACCTATACTCTCTAGCAATGCCAGTCAAAGGCACAAATTCTAACCTTAACCATTCGAATAACCTCTATCAGAAGAGTGGGATTAATACTCCCTGTGTTATCTTCAAACTGTCCGAGCCGGTTGACTTTTTTGATACTCATGAATGAACAAGGACATAATCACACTGATCCGTTTGATGCTATTCAAATAGGGAACTAAGATTTGGCAAAAGAGATCAACTGGTGGCATGAATCCATTAAAGCTTGATCGAAGAGCATAATTGTCACTTTTAATGTTTTATCACATTTAATTTAATGGCAACATACACCAAACGAACTGAGCTAGAAAAATTTGAATATGAGGTGAAAACTAAAGAGATAGATAGCTAGAGAGAGAGATATCCATGATTAATTTCATGATCTGTCTGGATCTCTTTAATGGTTAGCGATGATAATGAATTGAGAAGGAATCGCGTAAATGTTAAGCAGCATATATCTGCTTGCGGGTGACTGATATACCTGCTGGAGAAGATTTGTTAACAGGCCGAAGAGTTGAGCATTTGCCGCCGGCGGCGATGGCGGAAGTTTCCCTTCTCCGGTCATTGTGGATCCCGTTTCCAGCTGCAAAGACGAACCTGGCCTTTTTTGTACTATTAAGAAACTAAAATAATTGTAAATACTGTATTAAGAAATGACAAATATTTTAGTACTCCCCGTCCGAAAATATTCTTCTCATTTTCCCTTTTGGTTCGTCTGGAAATATTCTTCTCATTTCCTTTTTTAATATAATTTTTAAGGATAAATTTCAATAATGTCCTTATATTTTATCAATAATATACTTTTTTATTGCTTTTTAATAAGAAAAAGAGATTTAAAAGTTTATAGTATGTGCATTTTTGGAAATTTGTCATTTTTTTACCATTCCTTAATAAGCGTGCCAAGTCAACATGGGAATAATATTCCCGGACAGATGGAGTAATGTTTAGGTCTCGTTTGGTACACAGAATTCAAACTATAGAATTGGAATTGAAGACTTCAATTCCAATTCTGATGCTTGGTAACACAAAAATTATGTGGATTTGGAATTGATAATGCAAAAAATGAGTTGGAATCAATGAATTCAATTCTATGGCATTGAATCCCATGAAATTTCAATTCCAATTCCATCAATTTCGTATACCAAACAGACCCTTAGTGTAGTACTTTTTTAGTAGTATAAAAGGATACTCTTTGTCCTAAAACCATTTATTCTATAGAGTTACAGCCATAACTTTTGTTTGCTCGTATATTTTCGTTGATCATTTGATAAAATAAAATATTTTTGTAAACTTTTGTTTGATATAACTTTTGATTTTGTTTTTAAATATATAATTTTCAAATTTTATTTCTATATCAATTTGTAAATAAAATTAGTTTAATAATTATGAGATTTTACATATTAAATGAAGAGTGTAATTCATTTATGGACGCGTGTACTTTGTAAAATAAAGAAAATAAACACTACATTATCAAATTGTTGCCCACATAATATTTTGGTGGACCTACTTAGAGCATCATTAATGGGGAGGGGAATAGCCTATTAGTAAAGCTCCATTGGTTATATTTAACCACTATTTAACATTTTGAATGGATGCATACTAATATTTAAATTAATGTGAATGACATATTGGATGTAGAGAGAGTGTAAAATGTTTAAACCTTTAAACAACATCTATGATGACAAATGATCTCACCTTAAATTATAAAATAGTTCAAAAAAAATCTCTCTTGAACAACCAAGAGTCCAAGACGTAAGAGTATTAAAAAATGAGCACCTTAATTTTTTATTTCTAATGTACATATACCATTTCTTTGATTTCATATTTTAAAGTATAGTAATATTTACTTCATTCGTCCCAATTTAAATTACCTATTTTGGTTTATGATGTTTGATTGGAATTATTTTCAAATCGTTTCATATGAAAAATGGTGTAAAATTGAAAAAGGAAAATTACATATTTAAAAATTAGATCAAAATATTTTTTACAAAACTAGTGGTGACATGATTAATTGACTATATTATTTTATAAATGACAACGAAAATAATCAAAGAAAATGAATGAAGTTTGACCATGAAAATAGTAAATATGCAATTTAATTTGAGACGGATGGAGTATAATATAATAAATAATAAATAAAATTATTAACGGTGGCAGTGGTGTTAACTAGTTGCGACGGCCAACGGTGCCAGATTACATTTGTAGCAGCAAATCTAGAATGCAACAACATGTTGTACAAAAGTTTACAGCAGGAAAAGAAAATAAAAAATCCGAACTTATAAACCATTCGGATTTACAATTGAGAATAAAAAGAAAATAGATTACAGAGATACGAAGGATGAACGAATTATGCAGAACGTTGAGTGCCGCCGGATTTTGGAAAAATTAAGGAAAACGGAGTTACCAGAGCTTTCCTTAAGATAGTCTCGCCCGCCTCCCGCACTAGCTAACATGGACAAACTCGTCCTAGAATAAAATTGCTAACGTGTAAAGTCTTTATGTAAAGCAGTGCACCGACGAATTGAAACGATGAAGAGTTACTTGTCAGAAAAGATTATCAAAAATTGAGAGAGTTGGAGCTTTTGGGAACGCAAACAATGGTTTTTTTTGAGCGTATCTCTGCTGTGGATTCATGCTCCTTATAAAGAAGTTGGAGAGACTCTTCAGTGGTAGTAGGCAGACAGTACGAAAAGTCACAAGAGGCTCTTCGTAGGTATATGCATGACTAACCCACTCCGTTAATAACAAATTACCCACTCGCGTTCAAATCGATTACGTAAAAAGATAAGAGTTGGCCTATGCCCTCGCCACGATGCGTTCCACGCACACACATGCCACATGCCAACAAGCATTCGCGCTCGTGCGTGATGGGTCCTTTCTTTACTCCTCTAATTCTTTTACTATGCAATTCAATGCTAGCATATAAATAGTGGAAGGTAAAATGTTTCAAATCCCATGTGGGATACACGAGTTTTACTTTTACCAAGTGTTCGACTTTGTTAATTAATTTCTCATTTAACTGAGCATCATTTTTGGCGCTCACTATATCAAAGCACTCATCTCATTTGGGAGATTAATTGTCCATAATTATTTTGGAGAAATAATTTTGTAGACCTTATCGAATTTATGTCTGAAATTATCCCATTATAAGCCAAAAATTTGAACACAACATATTGCAAGGTAGTTTTTTTAAAGGGATTTTAATTTTTTCGGGCTTTAATTTGTAAATGAATTTAATTTTATTTATAAAAAGAATAGATAAATAAAAGGCATTAAAGTCTTGATCTATAATTTGGAGTTCCTAATTTGGGAAGTTAATGTTCGTGGTCCTATTTTGATATCATTACTACGACAATAGACTACTATTCTTTTTTAAGGAATAATACTATTTTTTTTAGTAACTCAATGCTCATCAACGTATTATATGTTCAAACTAATCTAAACTTCTTAAACACATGAGCGAGGCTCGAACACTGTATGTGGAAAAGCTTGTGACTTCCTTGTCACTACGCCGACAACCTTCCACATACGAAGTACTGCTAGTTGGGAAGAGACACAAAATTGGTCCGCGTCAATATTTAGATTGCTTACAACACGAGAGTCGAGACGCGTGATTGCAAATCCATATTTTAAAACAAAAGTTCGTGCATCGAACTAGTAACAAAAAACAGGCGAAACAAGTTTATAAAACTTGACCATGTAAATAATAAATTGAGATAAAGAGAAAAAATTGAAGAGAAAAAAAATGTTTGAAATATAACGTACTGTGTTGGACTAAATTTGACCAATTCCATTGAAAGAACGAAATCAGACGAATCAATCTTTTCCACATTATGCATAGCGCAAATCTCTATTTTTCCAAAGAGACAAAATTACTATTTCAAATGGTAATAAATTGAAAATGGCGCCGGTTATAACCAAACATGTGACCCTATATTCTCGCCACTTCATTCAATCCCTGCACCGTTATTATTCACATCTTTTTTTTTCAACATTTTATTATTCATATTTAAATATTTTACATCCCATGAAAAACTTCCACATCTGATATTCACGTGCTCAAATTTTATCATATTTATTTGCATATTTTTGCTATTCATCCGACTAAAAAACATAGATATGTCACATTTTATTTTTGGAATTTTTAATATATAAATTTTATTTTTTAAAATTTTATAGTAATTACAGATTAAAATGAATTAAAAATAACTCAATTCAAACATCAGAACCTGCATACATAATTTAAAAAATTGAAACCCCCTTTCAGCTTCAAAAGTAGTGTTTTTATTATTATTATCATCATTTGTTTGAGGTGGGGGATTAAAAGTTAAAACCTCTTAGAGTTCCATAACTACTCTTCAACAAAAACCTCCCCATTCCAAGAATCTGCACCACTATTAAAATCCCCATAACTTCTCTGCTTTAAAAATTCTAAACTCACCAGAAATTAAGGCTCCGTTTGGGAACAACATACGTGACTAGCACCATAGTTTCGCATACATTTTTCCCGGTGTAGACAAGCGTTTAAAACGCTAAAACTCAACGTTACCGTTGGCTAGCGTTTTTTTTAAAAAAAAACGCTAAAGTGAAACTGAAATGTTATTCCCAAACGGAGCATAAGAAGAGCTCTTCATTTAAGTTAATTAATGTAGCCATTTCACCCTGCATTATTTTTATTCCTTTTTTTTTCTATTTGGTCGAGAACTTAAAACTCCTAAATAAATGAAACAGAAATAGAAATTGAAACCTCAAAAAGATCATGCATTTAGATGCTATATATGAATGAATAACTACTGCAGTTACACTGTCTACTGCTATACAAAGCAATACCTGCAGGTTCAGTTCTTCCCCTTCTTGGCATGCTCCTCTACCAATAAACCAAACCCAAAAAAGAAGAAATCTGTGAGGTCTCTTGAAAACAGTCTCTCTATTTTCAAGTAGGGGTAAGGTTTGGGCGCACACACCCTTCCCGAGACTCTACTTTCGTGGGATTTTACTGGGTTTGTGGTTGCCGTGATTTTTTTTGGAGGGAATAAATGAGTTTTCGGGACGAGTGGTTGTGGAGTGTGATGATGGTCGTGGCGTTCTTTACGGGTTTGGGAGAGGTGGGGAGTTCAAGGAATGGGGGGGAGGAGTTGTTGAGGATCACGTGGAACGATTTGAGAGTGAGTGACGGCGCGTTGAAAAAGGAGCTGGAAAATTTGGGAGGGGAAAATTGGAGGAGGATGAGGAGGAATGGGAGCAGATTGATTGTCGTTGATCAGAATGGGAAGGGGGATGTTCGGACGATCCAAGCCGCGGTCGATATGGTGCCTCAACACAATTCCAAGAGAGTTAAGATTTACATTGTTCCTGGGATTTATAGGTAAAATGTATGCATATTGTCATCTCGGTTTAGTTCATTACTCTTTCCGTCCCATACCTTTCTTCTCATTTTCACTTGTCATGTTTTCTTAACGTTAGATGAAAAATATTTGACTTTCCCTCTTTGCCCTTGGTGGTGCAAAAGTAAGGCTAAAGTGGTCTTGTAGTTGCAAAAAAGGCGAATAGTCTTTCCATTTAAAGAAACGGAAGAAAGATAGATAAAGGACGGTCTTAAAAAGAAAGACGAAATTAAAGATATAGAACAAAGAGAGTATTATTTACCAGTAGAAGAAGAAGCTAAAACACAAACATTGTCAATGCAGAGAAAAGGTGCAAGTACCTGCATCAAAGCCGTACATCTCGATGATCGGAGACGAAGAAGATCCATCGAGAACGGTGATATCATGGCACGACAAGGCCTCGGACAGAGTGGGGAATGGGGGCTTTTTGGGGACATCAAGGACAGCCACCCTCCAAGTGTACGCCGATTACTTCTGTGCGAGCGGAATCACTGTTGAGAACACGGTGGTGGCGACCCCGGGGGGTGAAGGAATGCAGGCTGTCGCCGTGAACATCAACGGCGACAGGGCTGTGTTCTACAAGTGCAGCTTCTTGGGGTCGCAGGATACTCTTCTGGATGACGCCGGGAATCATTACTTTTACCGGTGTTACATTCAAGGGATGGTCGATTTCATCTGTGGAAACGCCAGGTCCCTCTATCAGGTGATCATTTCTTGAATTGTATGTAATGTAATCCAATGTATAGAAGAATTAAGAAATGACCCAAAATAGTAGCAAAAAACATAGCCCTTATCCCCAGAATAGGGATGGCATGTTTCTATAGCCAAAACAGGACTATTGCACTTCGAAAATGTGGTGCCGTATATTGGCATCTTACAATGTTTTTTTTGGCATTATATGTTGGCATTATTCGCACTTTAGGTTCTATTCTGGGGATAAAAACGTAAAGGCCTTGTTTTGGTTCTTTTCCTATGTTTTACTCCTGTTTTTGTCTTTCTCTCCCAACATTGAGAAAGTCTGAACATTCTATTAATAAAACTAAAGAAAGTTTTAACTATAAGACTGGTAACTGGAGTAGAGGAACTGACCCAGTGAGGAATTGCAGGAGTGTGTTATTAATTCATTGGGGTCAGGAGCAATTGCAGCACAGCACAGAAACTCACCTGGTGAAAACACAGGCTACTCATTTGTGAACTGCAGGATTTCGGGCAACGGGAAGACCCTTCTGGGGAGAGCCTGGGGAGAGTTCTCGACAGTGGTTTACGCCAACTGTGATATCGACAACGTCATACTGCCTTGGGGATGGAGCGACTGGAGCGTTCCATCGCGACAAACGTACTCCCTCTATTCACATTTAGTTGAAACGAATATAGACATGACGTGTGCCTATATTCGTTCAATTGCCACGTTTTCATGGGGTTAAAAAAAAGTAATAATTCATCGGTGATTTGTTTGTTTACATTTCCAGGAATTCTATGTTCGGAGAATACGGGAATAGGGGTCCGGGAGCAAGAAGAGATAACAGGGTACCATGGTCAAAGAGCTTGAGCAATGAAGAAGCCATGCAATACATGGATACCACCTTCATACAGGGACAGCAATGGCTCAAACTATAGTTGATACTGCAAATCACTTGTGTATATAAATATATTGGCCCAAATAAATTTAATTCCACTCAATTTTATTCAAACCTTAGTTAGACTACTGAAATTCACATAAATTTAATTCCACTCAATTTACAGCAAATAATAAATCACTTTTGGAGTTAGGAAAACAAATTCTGAGCAATGTTAACAGCAAAACTTGGTACTCCCTCTGTCCCATGAGAACATTTCACGTTTCTTTTTCGTTTGTCCCAAAAAAAGATTCAACTTCCTTTTAAGGAAATTTTTGCGGCTGATATAATTTCAGTGTTCATTCACCTGATTAACCAAAATCCAAACAAATGAGTCATTATTGACAAAATCAAATGACACTTTGAACTCTATGGGTCCGTTTGGTATAAGGAATTGGTGGAATTGGAATTGAATTGGAATTAACATTTCATGAGATTCAATTTCATAGAATTGAATTCTGTCAATTTCAATTCATTTTTTGCATTATCAATTCCAAATCCACATAATTTTTGTGCTACCAAACACCAGAATTGGAATTGAAGTTTCCAATTCCAATTCCATAGTTTGAATTCCATGTACCAAACGGGACCTATATGTTTCTTAATTTCAGTGAAGTTTTGGGTCCAAGAGCTTGTTTTCTTCAACTTATTTTTAATACTTTGTTACTTATTCTTATTAGAATCAATTCAGATTAAATCAGAAACTTTAAATATAACTATATTCACTAAGGAACAAACAAAGCAATACTTGTCTAACATGTCAAAGTTAAGAAACAAACTAGGCAATAGTTTCAATTAACGGCCCATTTGGTACACGGAATTGACGAAATTGGAATTGAATTGAAAGTTGGAATTATATAGAATTGAATTTTGGTGGAATTGAATTCTCTAATTCCAGTTCATTTTTGGCACTACCACTTCCAAATCTACAAATTTTCGTGCTACCAAAAAGTAGAATTGGAATTCTTGTCCCCAATTTTAATTTCATAGTTTGAATCGGGCCTACCAATCAGAGCCTAAGTATTTGCATCCATTAAAGACTAGCATTAGCAGATTTCAGAACCCAGCGCAACGATTATATCAGCAAAAGTTGGAGATGATAACTATGCAAGCACATAAAAATTCAGCAAAATATGTGCATCTGTGTGACCAGCTGGAGAAGAAATCTTAGATTCTTCGTTAGAAGAGCATTTACCTACAAAAGAAAAACTAGCAGATGTGTGGAGTTGAGCGTCAGCTGTACTCGGCTGTGACGACGGCGGCCCGGCTGTGACGACGGCGGTCGGCTGCCGCCTAACTTTTCCTTTTCCACCATGCTGCTAGGTGTTTGTACCCCAGAGATTTACATTTTTATTTTGATGGCTACAAAAATAAATTGTCGTGCGATAGAATTTTTTTTATTATAACCATAGATTTATTCTTTTCTTTTTCGTGCATCTTTGAATCATTACTACCTCAGTCCCTCTTGCTTGTTGGCGATGTTTAAAGAGAAACATAATGATGCTTCATGTGTGGACCAGTAGACTGTAGACCTCATAGACGAAGGGTCGCGCCAAAATTTCAATATTTGTCAGATTAATGGAGCATGCACCTAGTAATTGTAGTGGTTCTATGTTTAGTAAAGTGTCCTTCAACGCAGTTGCATAGAATCGAACTTAAATCTAGCTCATTGGTGCTCCTTGCTTTGCCAACTACCCAACACCTACAAGCATATTTGTACCTATTCTCAGAAGAGAACCTTACCACCCGAGTTTGATTCTCAAAAGGGACAATTTTGGGCGTATTTTCAAAAAGTTAAGTGTGCTGACGTGGGAGTAGCAAAAATGATGTGTTACTGGCCCTTAGGTTGGGCTTTCACTAGGCTTACTATAGTGGGTTATCCAACCCCGGGCCCCGGGACGACCACGAGGTTAATGGGCTTTGGCTCCCTGCTTGTAATTGTCCATTCAAAATATTATATATATATATATATATATATATATATATATATATATATATATATATAGACACACACATAATGACATACTCCATCCGTCCCATATTGGATACTGCACTTCAAACAACGTACAAAATTTCCCATTTTCAAATCATTTTAATTACAAATTAGTATAAATTGCACCGTTTAAAAAGTATATAAAAATCTCTATAAACAAGAGGCGACAAAGATATTTTATTTTATCAAACTATTAATAAAAATATACAAACAAACAAAAGTAATCGAGAAACCGTAATAGTTAGAGTGAAATCGAATTCGGGACAGATGGAGTATACATTAACATTATTGGATTCATAGGTCCTATTTAGAATAAAAGCACCAAGTCTTGTTTTAGTTCTTTTCTTACTTATATTTATATTTTTGTCTTTTTCCATTTACCCAATGGGTCTTGATGTTGTTGTCATATTTATATCTGTTGGATCTTGATATCGGATCGAGTTTACATGCGATAAAAGTTTACACTTTTTCTACTTCCTACCATGTACTCCTCATAAAATGACCTTGTAAGAGCATCTCCAATCATCCTATTTTGGCTTGCTAAAATCTATAATATAGCACGTCAACCCATTTTTCTCTTCTCCAGTGGGTTTGTTAAATTTTAGCAAGCTTGTCAAAAAATGAAGGTGGCTTGCTAAATATAACAAGCTCTCCAAATTATAGGAAGCCAAGAGTTGTAGAATGGATTAGCAAACCATGATTGGAGAGTGGAACAAAATATCACTTGCTAAATCACTATTCACTTGTTAAAATATTAAAATAGCAAGTCAATATAGTGAACAAGGTTGGAGATGCTCTAACTAGTAAATAAACTACTTAATTTGAGACGAGTGGAGTATAATACTATATATCAATCTTAATTAAATTTTGAAACGGTTGTTGCTAAATTCACTCCTCATTTGCCTATATCCACCCTTATATGAAATGGACAAGTTTACCCTTAATGTTTAGAAACTGAAAAAGAAAGAAGTGAAAGATAAAATTGTCAATTTATTATACGGAGTAAATGCAGTGGATTTAGCAAAACAAGAAGTGAATTTGGAACCACCATTTTGAAACGTGCCAAAAATTATCTCATAAACATTTCTAAAAAGTATTTCATTCTATTAATATGAAAGTAATTTTTATTCAATAAATGTTTAAAATTTGTTTAGTTTAAACAAAACAAATACATTAAGATGATGAGGTTAAGGATTGAATTCAAATGTTCAAAATTTAGACCGTATAATACGATTTACGAATAAATGAGGAGGAATTTACTTAAATAGCATTAAAACATAATGACTTTTCCTAAATAGCACCACATGTGTTTTTATTTCCAATGTAGCACTTTTAGTCATTATGCAGTAGTCATTATTCAAACAAATATTCACCATCACAGAACATTATGGACATTATTAGGTGCTATTTAGGGAATAAAATAATTTAGGTACTATTTAGAGAAATGACTTAAGTTTTAGTGCTATTTAGTACAAATATTTCATAAATGAATCCAATACTTGGGTACTCGAGAGTACAAATGCAAGAATTATGCTTTGATGGTGCGGGTTACACATACTCGAGATTCTCTCTTTTTCCTTTGTTAAAAAAAATTCCTACCTACACATACTAAATATTTTAAACTTAAAATAAAATGTTTGTAAATTAAAGAAATCACTCTAAATAAGAATAAAATATAGAACAAATTTCAAAATATAAACTTCATGTTTTATTTTCAAAATAGAAATTTGCATTCTGCTATTGCAACACTATATATAGATATTTTATAATTGATAATGTATATGGTAATGATTGATACTGTATAATAATTTAAATTTTTAATTCAAAACGTAAATCATGAAACTCTTATTTTAATATATTTTTAATATCTTACTCTTACTAAAGTGTGTGAATACTAATTGAGAATATGATTTTAACACACTTACTTTGTTTTATCAACTTTGCCCCCTTTACGTTCAGTCTTTAGAAATGCACATATATTTATTATTTATACATAAAATAATAATTACGTAAATCATGTTTTTGAATAATGACTTTACTAATAGTTGTTCATTAAAATATAAATATGATATACTCCTCTCTACTTTTTAAAAAATATATACTCCAAATTTAAAAATTACATTAGACACTATACTAAAAAATGTAAAAAATTCTACCGCTTCTGTCCTAAAAAAGATTTTTATATTTTAATCATTTTTGGTAAAACAGTGACATGATCATAAATTATAAAAAATATATCTAATTATGATATAAATCTAACAGAATTGAATTTATTTTGTTTAATTAATGGTCAAAAAAATATTACAACTTAGATAAAAAATCAAAACAAGAAAAAATTTTAAGACAAAGAAAATATTATATAACCCGTTAATTTAGAGTGGAGAGAGTATATTATTATTATTATTTAAATAAATTAGTTCGAATATAAATTTATCAACCATGTTAAGTAATTGTAAAGCGTCGAATATAATTTACTCAGCTTTTTTATGTACGTTCAAAAATCAGCATAAACATCATTCTCCCTTGTCTTCTTCTTCCTCGGGAGCGTTGAAGCTTTGACACAGAGTTCATGCGCGACTCGTGTCCTCTGCCACGTTTTGCTCATGCGAGGTAATCTGCAACTTCGCCGTTTTTCCATCCATTGAACTGGAACAGTCTTCGATTTTATCCAGACTGACCCGTCCTGTTGCCAGTGTTCTTAAGCTGCATGCGAATACGAGGGGCTTGAGCGGCGGAGAGCTGCTTTAGGAGGCGGAATTGGGAGCGGAGATGGCCTACCAGAGGAAGGTCCCGGATCAGCAGCCGCGGATTATGCGGACACAGACGGCAGGGAATCTGGGGGAGTCGACGATGGACAGCGAAGTAGTTCCGTCTTCTCTGGTGGAGATTGCCCCTATTCTGCGTGTTGCTAATGAGGTTGAACCTAGCAATCCAAGGGTTGCTTACCTGTGTGAGTTCTTGTGACCTTGTATAGTACTCGTATCGGTATTTCTCTACTTAATTGTGCTGTGTAATTGCTTTTTTATTGTATTAGGGCTACAATTTAACACTTGTTTTCCAGTTTTTTGTATATATCTTGCATGAGCCAAGTTGTCTAAACCACAACTTATTTGGTTACAGTATCAGATTGTAGTAAAAATAGTGCAGCAGTAATCTCTTTGAGACTGCTCAAGTTAAACGACACTTCTGCTCTGACTTATTACCTATCATTTCTCTTCATTTATTTTAAAAAATTACCTTTTTAGATATCTTAGTTCAATTAAGCCAATTCGTCAAAATCCACTCCCATGAAACAGGCTCTTGAGCTATAACATAATCCTATTTTTGGCTTATGAGCCAAGTAATAGTTTCACTCGTTTAAATGTACTATTAGGCTAGCCATATTTTCTACTAGGCACTAATGCATTTGGTTGCATGACCTGAATCAGCTTGTAGTGGGAAAAAGTGAAGTTGTGTGTATAAGTGATTGATATGACTGCCATGAAGATAAGTGACACTTTAACCTCATTCTGGTTTTATAATGATTAAAGATGCATTTAAATATTCTTTAGATGGTTCAGCTCATTCAGCCACTATCTCAGCAAATTTTACATGTTTAAGTATTAGACGATTTTAGTTGAATTTTATCATCACTAACCATGCTATTTTTTTCCATTTAAAAAAACACACACTTAGTTTTTATAGTACATGATGTAGATGATTCACTGCTTTGCATCTGCATTTGAATTATGCTAGAATCATTTATATCTTACTACTATTGAATAATGAGTCTTATGAAGGATTTAATAAAAATTGCTCAAGAGACTGGTGCACTATGTGTAATTGTGCCACTGTTTCATTTCTAGACTTATTCCTATTTTTCACACACTGTTGCTAGGACCATAACTTTCTTAAGTGCTCAATTCTGTTTTGGAAATAAATTGTATTGAAGTGTATTAGTTCATTGGCATAGTGTTATGGTAAGATACTTGATACAGGATCATGCCCAACACACCGGTGATTGAGAAGTAGTAGTTCATGTCCATGTTCTTTCCCCATGAATGAGCCTAGGAGTCTCTCCACCTTGTTAGAAAACTCGGAATTTGATTAATAACTTCCATCATACTATTTATTAACTGTGCAGTGTACATAAAGAGGGATTGAGGGCCCCACCAAGCTGCAATAAAAGATTCCTATTACAACCCGAATATAAGTATATTATAATTGGAAACTAATATAACTCTACTATAAATGGGAATAATAATTGGACCTCATTTAGAAACTTCTGTTATTCTCTCGCTTTCCCCTTCGTATGTCTGTCATCGCATATTTCAGTCCCTCAATTGCATCCACATTATGTTATTGTTTGCAACACTTAGTGCATGCAAAGTTGTAGAGTACTCCCTCTGTCCCGTAATTTTTGTCCCAGTGACACGATTTTTAATAAAGTGAAATTTGTGTGGTTATGGTTTGTGGAGAGGAAAGTGAAAAAATATGGGCCACACAATCATTTCCTTAAAAAGAAGCAAACAACAACATTACCCTAGTGCCTCTAAGGCTCCCGCCCATTGTGGGGTTAGGGGGGTTGGATGTACGTAGCCCTATGTTAGAACATAGAGCAGCTGTTTTTAGATGACCTATGGTGAGCGTCAAAAGTTGCATTGACTAACCGTTACTTCATTATCAAAAGAAGCATAGATAGGTTTAGAGCCATTTCCTTAAAAAGAAAGTGAAAGTCAAATTTCGGACAACCCAAAAAGGAAAGTGAGAAGATAATTATGGAAACGAGGGAGTATTAGGCATGTTAATAAATATAATCTGAATCTTATTGATGATGGTCATTTATATTTGTATTACACACAT